TGTTTAGCAACACTTTGTTGAAGACTTTGCCTGGTGTTGAGAAAACAGTGATGCCTCTGTAGTTCTCACACCTGCTGACCTCGCCTTTCTTTGGTATTTTGATGAGGTATCCTTCTTTCCAATCTGATGGTACTTGTTCCTCATCCCAAATCTTCTTGAAGAGAATGTGAAGTATTTTTGCAGTTGCTACCACGTCTGCCTCCATTGCCTCTGCTAGAATGTTGTCTGGTCCTGCTGCTTTGCCGCTCCTGATTTGTCTGATGGCCATGCTGATCTCCTCAGTTGTAGGTGCGCAAACATCGATTGGGAGGTCCATGGATGCTGCTTTGATGTCGGATGGGTTCAGTGGAGCTGGTCGATCCAAGAGTTCCTTGAAGTTCTCTACCCACCTATTTCTCTGTTCTTCAGTGTAGTTGATTACTTCGCCTTCCTTGCTTTTCCCTGGTCGTTCCGGCTTACGATGGTTTCCAGCGAGCTTTTTTGTTGTATCATACAATTGTCTCATGTTTCCTTCTCTTGCAGCCTTTTCGGCCGTCATTACTCAGTCTTCCACACATTTACGTTTGTCGGCCCTGATGCTCCTTCCCACTTGCTTGTTTGCTTCAGTGTATTCATCTTTCTTTCAACTTTCTCTGCTCTTGTTCGGCTGATTTTGATTGCTGCCTTCTTGTTCCTACTTTCCTGAACCTTATCCAGAGAACTGATAGTGATCCATTCCTTGTGATGGTGCTTCGTGTGGCCTAGGATGTCATAACATGTTGAAGTGATTTCCTCTTTGATCCCTTTCCAACTGTTCTCCATGCTTGTATCCTCTCAATTGAGTAGGTGGTGAAAAGCTTGGAACCTATTGATGAGGGCTATCTTGAATTCGTTGAGTTTGTCAGTATCCCAAAGAAAGGCTGTATTAAACTTTAGTGATGTTGTCTTCTCCGTTGTCCAGGGCTTCTTGATTTTCAGTTTCATTTTGGAAACCAGCAAGTGGTGATCTGAGGCTCTTTCATCTCCCCTCTTGGTTTGCACGTCCTCCATGGTCCTTCCGAACTTTTTATTGTTACAGATATGATCGATTTGGTTTTGAGTAGTGTTATCCGGTGAAATCCATGTAGCTTTATATGCATTTGTGTGGGAATATTGTGCCGCCGATGACCGGTTTGTTTTAGGCACATATATTTGTGAATCTCTCACTACTTTCTTTCCTTTCTCTCACTTCATGTTGTCCCAGATATCCTTTCGTAGAACTGATCTTTAACATCTTCATTGTTGACGTTGGTAGTTGCGTAGCGTTGGATGAAGTTCATTGTGATGCCCTCTTTCTTTGTGTTGAAGAATACTTTGATGATCCTGGGTCCATGAGATTCCCATCCTATCAGTGCCTTTTGTGTTTGTTTGGACAGCATCAGTGCAACTCTTTACGTGTGTGAGGCATTTTCTTCTTCATGGCCGGAGTATAACAGCACCTCTCCTTGAAGTTAGTCTTATTTCTCCAACCTGTGTTCGATGTGTTTCAATGATTCCAAGCACTTCCAGGTTGTATCTTTTCATTTCTGCAGCAATTTGGAACAGCCTTTTAGTCTCTCACATTGTTCAAACGTTTTATGTACCTAAAAGAATGGTTGCTCTGGTTGAGAGAAGGGACATCCGCCTTGTGACTGCCGAAGGCGTCATAACTCTTCTGAATGAAGACCTTCTAACTCCCAGGGTAGAGTTAAAATGGTTTGAATTGATTTTTCTGGTTAGCGATTTTTAGTGAGTTAGTTTTCTAAGGGATGAGATCGTCAACCCCATGCCGAACCTTTCTCATTTATCCGAGCTTGGGACCGGCAATAGCCCCAGCGGGGCTCCAGTCGTAGTTATGTACTCATCCAAGTTAGGCCAATATACATGTGAAGCTATCGTAAGACGGCTGAGTGTAGGCTTTTCGGAACTACAACATGATCGGTAAACATCTTACAATGGATAGCGATGAGTAATTTTTAGGTAAGAGCAATAAAAATAAGTGATTGTACTGCCGATTAGAGGATTGTTTATTATCCACCGTCTAGAGTATAAGTTGTGTAGAATACTTTACATTGAAGTAAATTCAAATTTCATGTTATTGAGAATTTTATTAAATTTGCAAGTACGTTCCAGCCTAACAACCAGAGATGTTTTAGAGATTTCCCCATTGTGAAGACTGTTATTAAGGTTAAATCAAGAATACTACGATATTAATATCAATACTCACTGACCCTGCTCATTATGCTGCCAGATAAGTCTTTATCAGTGAAAATTTAGTTTGTGGATATTCGATACATTCCTAAACTTCGTTAACTGCTCCTCCTGATAACTGTTACTAGATAACGCCGAACGGTGTAAACAATTCAGAGGACGAATACGAAGCGTTGTTGAGGTTTATTATCGCACCACATTGGTCACAAAACCAAGGGCATACGAAGCGAAAGCGAACTAACGACATGAGGTTGCCAACGCATGAGCAAATAGAATAAAAAATTTACATAAGAAAATGAGTGAGTCATCGAATTATTTAAGCGATTAACAAACATTAAAGCTAATATAAATGAGTATGTGAGTAGACTGTAACCAACGCTCAAGCATACTAGCTCATATATATCTAGCTAATAAGAACTAAGTGGAGAGATAAAACATCCATCGCTTAATTATTTTAACAGCCTACTCTATAAATAGAAATTCACACAGTTTGTGTTGTTGTTAACTGTTAATTTGATCAAGGGGGTAAATTGTAATGACGAATCTGTTACAGACTAAATCAGTTTGTAGATCACACAAGACTTTTAGTTACAAACGTCATTGACCATGTGACACAATAGGGATTTGTCATTTTGTCAAGCGAAACTGTTAGTTAGTTAGTTCGATTGATAAGTTTTTTTTTTAACGCAGAATCATCTAAAACATTCAATAAAGAAACGAAAATAGGTGTTGTATTTTGAGTTGGAGTAGCTTTTCAAGTGGCGCTTATTAGACACTTATTATAGTGGCTGAATGAACTTAGATTTCACTCTGTTAGGGCAGTAAATAAAATTCAGTGTTATGTTGCGAATTTCAAGGTTATTTAAATTCGAACGGTGATGTTCTAATGTAGCTAGCTTATAGATTGGGTGACTTTAATTATTATTTAGTTGGAAGATAAATCATAATTGTGAATATGTGAGAATGATCAGTTTGTTGACTGAGCTTCAAAGTCAGTTACTAAGATACAGAATAAGGCAGATGTAAATGTTTTATGAATCCTGAAGCGATTTTTTGAACTCAGCAGTAATCAACCATCTGCTACCCGTGTGTAGAGGAAATTTTTCTTTACAAGCAACAAATTCTATTCAACTTAAAACAAAAACACTACCAGATCAACGCTAACCTAGTTTTAGATAATATATGGGGGAACAGAATGGGTGAAATTTTCTCAAAAGATTCTAATCCACTGTGGAGACATTTTTCTTTAAGGTTAGGAGGAATCATAAACTAGAGTCCTTACAAGGTTTATGTAATGCAGGTTTATTTTTCATTTCTACGTCATTTCAATGATAGTTTAAGTGGGTTTTACTCTCTGATTAATTGGATGACCTAAAGTCAAATACCTAACTTATCTATGGAAATAAATGTTTCTATGAGTTATGGACAGGATTTCCTACATTATTTTAAGTGCTGAGAATTTCATATTGAATAAAACGATTAGCATTATTTTATATAAACTTTCTTATGTATATTTGAACAGCTTTTGAATTTTTGTAGCTCGCGAAACAAGTGTCAAACAAATCGTTAATAATTTTGTTATCAAGTACAAACATACGAATTTCGATGAGAAAGCGGTGTAAATGCTTTTAATGTTGTTTGTTAGCCGTAACACTACATTTCGTAATACAAAACACTCCACCTAAATACTGAGTTTTGTATAACTGGATAGAAGGCTGTTAAAAATATATCGGTGAGATGTAGTCTGTGACTACAAAACTCTTGCAAATAAGGACAACCAGACTTAGTAATATTATAAACAAGTTAATGAGTCAGACTGAGAAAAGGCAGTTTCGAAAACGTCATTATTCTTGAAACTAGAGTTTAGTTAAGATACTAACAGTGAAATCATAGCATATCGTGTAAATATGGCGCTGCGAACGACTATTGCCATAGCTAACCTCAGTATCATTTTTTATAATTGCTCAATGTTCATAAACAGAAATGAAGATGGTGTCTGAATTCGCCTCCGTGATGTACATTTACTAGATGATGATCTAGTTGAATGATATACAGGCATCTGGTTTATTTCAATAAAACCTACGAGTCATCTATAGGAGTTTGTCTTATGTTGTCTATTATTTCAACATCCCTCTCAGCAAACTAAATCCGTGTATTCATAGAAAATATGGTCAACCGCTCATGTAACTTTGAACACTAACATAGCCTTCACTGCCTAACATTTTATTCGGTAGACTAATTACATATCATCCCTTTTTTCATTTTAAAAGATTGCGCCTGTCTTACTGATGTTTATCCTCAATTTCATATGCGATCATTATTAATATTCGACTTTCTATACAAGGGAATTTTCAGTTTACTATGACGTTTTCGTCTGCCCTGACTAGCCAGATTTCGGTAGGCTCGGGCGTCTTTACCAATATACAAGCACGTCTCTGATTACTTAAGATATTTGAGTGCCTTTCGTTGGAATACTTGGAAAGGTGGTAACTGTTAGTCTAACCAATCCAGTATAGTCTCCTAGTGGAGGAAGGAATATAGATTGAGCTATCATCACCTAAGCATCAAGATTTTAATAATATGATCATTTAAAATTCTAGTGTCAGCTTTGGACATAAGTTGGCATTAACTAGACGATCATTAGAAAGTTAAAAAGCACCCACTCATTTCGTTTTTATGGTAGCTAAGATACCTTCAGACTGTTCGGTTGCAATCCAACACCTCGTATTTCCAACTTTAGTCAGTTTGTGATAGTCATATTTTTGTTCAGAAAAGCAATACAGAATTCATACAATTTATTCTCAAATTCAGAAAACTTTTTAGAGAAAAGAAAGGTAATTCTAACAAAATTTGTCTTCTATAGTCTAAAAGTGTAACATGATTTTCTGTTGAACTAATTTTCCACAAAAGATAAAAGGAAAGTAACACGTCAAAATTAAGAAAAATATTCCTGCCTTTCAGTATGTATGATCCAGAAAGTTAGTGACACTTCTTGATCTTGCCAATGATGATCTATCTCAGCTTGTTTTTATCTAGTCTATCAACAAAATGAATTAGTAAAATAAGTTTGTAATGCTGTTATCCATGGTTCGGAAAACTGTCCTATTCCTCTGAACTGTGATAATGAACTGATTAATAAATTTTGGAAATTTATATTATGCAATAGATTCTTAAGTGTTGACGGTTGACCAGTACTTTCAAGACTTGAAAATACATCCTGAAGTTTGTCCTGTGATTACACAAAAATACAAAATGCAATAATAACAGAATAGCATAAAAGATGGTACTGAAATAACTTTTACAAGAAAGAAAATCACAAACTAATATCGAGTGAAGGAGAAGTGATAATCAGTGGGTTATTTACGTTGAAGAAATAACTTGTGTTGATTTCAAAAGTACTTAAGTTGCTTATTTTTCTTCGCTCTGTTTGAATGTTTTACGTTAACTTCAATGTGATTATTGGTGTTATTTTAATGCCAAACGTATTGGATGCTAGTCAGCCTTAGTCAGTCAGTCTATCTATCAATGGTAATCAGGCTGTCAGTCTAACAACCAATCAATCAACCTGTTAGTCACACACAAAAATTAAATTTAAAAAAAAATGCATTCCGTCTGAAGAATACAAGTTTCGCTCGATATCACAATTGATAATAATCTATTTTCATGCAGTTTAGGCGAGTGTGATTCAATCTATTTTATGCTTCTTAGTACACATGTTAGCGTATTAAATCTGTAAACAATAAGATTTTGGAAAATTAAAATCCAAAGTACTAGAATCAGTTTGTGATTATTTTATTATAAGGATTGAAATTCAAGAGCCTAGAATGTTTGTTTACATATATTTTCAGTTGATTCAGACTGAAATGGCAAGTAGGGCAGTTTTATTTATTTAGTAGTACGATGATGGTAACAGAAGCTAACGAAAACTAATTTGCCTGCCATATATTCAAACTAGTAGGTGGTATATATTTGACTTGATGTCTGTGAAAACTAGATTCTAAAACTAGCACATTTTAACTCTAGCCATTGTGTGTTACCCTAGCTGTTTTATCTTAGGTTCACTTGTTATTTCTTTGTGAATAATTAAAACTTCCGATCTAAAACAACCCGACTTACCTAATCAACTGAATAATTGGTAATCTACGAATATCATTAGGTCCCAGAAAGAATGTCCAAGAACTAATATATGTAATTGATTTGAAGCCATTTTGAAATCAAAAACGGACACTAATTATGAAACAAAGGAGAACCGGATAACTGCTTTTATCTTATTTTAGAACTGACTCTAGGGTTCTGCACATTATTAAACCACAGTCAATCAGTCAGTTACAAAGTAGAACATGGTATGCAGGTACGTCAGCCCTTTAATGGTGCCACATATCACATAGTAAAGAGAGATAAAAGTGTCAATTCAGATCCCAGACAAAGAGTGAGTGCATCTGCACCATGGAGAACCACAACTCTCACAGCTAGCACTTACCGATATGACAGTTGAAATCCATTTGTTTCTAGTTCCGAAGGCAGACAGTTTTCTTCTGAAGTCATCGATGAGTTATTTTCACTCTCGACCTGATTGATTACACAACTCACATTTTTCTACTAGAACTTCGAATGACCCATTGGCGATCAAAGGATTATTATTACTGAATTAGAGGACGGAAAAGTACTTTATTTTCAGAGTGGTATTGTGGCTCCATACTGACAGAGTTTCGTACTAAGCTAATACGACTATAGGGAAATTCTTCCCTCGGTTCCAACAGTTCTTCAGAAAATCTCAGTCCATGAGAAAATCTTATTTTAAATTGTAAAGTATGTGGAAGTAACACTAATCAATCTAATTAATATTTTTCATGCATGTCACAGTCATCAGTTAAGATGTTAATATGGAATTATGTGTTCAATGTCTCTTGTATGATGTATTAATAATTTTTTGACTGTGTAAATTTCAGTAAATAAACTATCTATGAATGGCGTTTTCTTTTATCATCATATTTTTCAGAAGAATCAGAGAATCACAGTAGTATCCAGACTTTGTAGTAGTTTTTTTATTACCGATGTCGATTTTCATATGTTTATACTCTTAAAAAACAAGTATTGATCTTGGAAAACGCCCAGTCGTCTACACTAAAGCATCATCATCGCCGGATTTATTTTTAGGAACTAATACTGGTTGAATTGACTGAGAGATCAAATAAAAGAATGCAGAGGTTAAATATACATTTAGAATTTCGTTTACTTTTTATTTATTTACTTACTGATATCAGGGAATTTCCCGGTTCTGACGCATCCAAAACTTGCGATACTTCCAGATCATCATGAACAATTTGACACTGGTTTGTATTAACTAAACCGAAGCTTAGAATCTATGTTGTAGGAATAAAATGAAAAGTGTTTTCTAAAGTTACAACAGTCATTTAATAACTTTCGAAGTCAATAATAATAACATTAGAAGGATCAGATTGTTGAGGTTAGTGGTTCTGATTTCCCATTTTATTATGAGTGTCTTTCAAGTTGAAAAGTTTCAGTTCACATCCGGCTGTCGGTGAAAATTGTCTCTCAAAAATTTAAGCAAACTGCTTTTAATGTGCAGGCACTAATTCATGTGGTTGAGAGTAGTTACTTAAAGATTGGATGCTTTTATTCATGTGCATTAAACCTCAATTTAAGTGACGAATGCCCATTTTATGATGGACAAGAAAAGACATATCCTGTGAAAATTATATCTTTATGGAATGACACTAGCCGTATCTATATTTTTAGTCCTGCTCTATACAAGGTATGAACTAAAGCTTCCTCCAAAAACGAAATCATTTAAAAAAGTATCACATGACTGATTATCAATATCAGTGAAGCTTGAAGTTTAAAATTCACTGTTAACTTCCTCGTTGAAGATTTACAATCCGTAACTAAGTTTGAAGTGCTATTTAGTATATTTCTGAATGAATAGGCTTACGCTAACACAGGACTGAAATGTCCTTGTAAAGATCTCATTTAGTGGAATAAGTTATAGATATTGTGACAACGAAGTCATGTATCAACATTTTATCAAACACCATTAACAATAATACGACAAACGGGGGAATATAAGGTTTTCTTTCGTATGGAAAATATCAGTAGTTAACGTTATTGTAAACATATAAATGCGACTCAACATGGTATTCAATTCCTTGTTTTTAGTTTATTGCTTTGAAATAATTTATTGTGTGTAAGAATACCGATTAATCCAAGGGTGATTTTCATAGGAAATCGATATTGACTAAAGAACCACCGGAAACGAGCAAGTATCCTGCTGCTTTACTTTAGTTTGAAGTAACTCAGCAATGTTCACTTAGGAGTTTATGCACAAGTGAATTTATTTGGAGAACTCCATTTAAGAGCTAACTACTGAGAAATCGGACAACAAAAGCATCGATTTTAGTGAAAAATTTCTGTTGGAAGCCGGAAAAAATATAGAGCAAGTCTACGATTCGTATACAAAAAGCAAATAAAAACTGTTTGCACCACGGACTGACTGGTTAGGCAATGACTTTAACCCAAGAAGGACTGGACATCTATCTGTTTTGTCTTATCATGAAAGTCCTCGGAAGTGTGAATCACCTCTTAACATTGTGAAATTTCAAAGTACAATAATTTTTGAAATAACCTTTTCTAAAATTTCTTTGGGTATAGGATCATCAGGACAATCCTGTGGCACTCCTTCGTATTCCAAATCAGAGTGATCTCTATTTAGAAAGAAAACAGATGAAAACAAATCAAGAATATTAATGTTCATCATAATACGAACAAGAATTTATCAGTCAATATAGTAGCTTGGAGATCGAGATTTTCTACTTAGGACTGTTAGATTAACGTTTTAGATCCAGTTCCAGCAGTGAACTTTAGCTTCAGCGGTGTCCAACGGTTGTTGCTGTTTCACAGGTTTAAAAGGCTAATTTCAGGTTTCCCATAGACAATGTACTAGATTGTTCCCTTAAATTCTCAAAGTAAACATTGAAGTTAACATCGAAAACTTATCCTAGTTAGTGGTGAGTTATATTTGGATTTACAAGTTATATCATACTACATACAGACTGAAATTAACAACCAGAAAAAAAGTTATCTAGTGCCAAAACTTGTTATCCTAAACAAAATTCACCATTATTTTGTAACACATAAACATGCTACCGAGAATTAATATTCCATAAACACAATCCTATTAACCAAGACGTTGAGATAAAATGGAATGGATTCCTGTTGAGTAGCTAGCTACCATAGGCATATACAATCTGCATGGGTATTATACACCTTTGAGTTATGAATAATAAAATTCTATGTTTTCAAGTGAATGCCTTTACAGTTAGGAATAACATGCAGTGCAACTTGCGTAAGGCGAGTTATTGCAATCGTTTTTTTTCAATATGCATGTGAAATATGTGCGAGTGAAATACTTCCAAACTATAACCTTCACCAAGGAATACTTGAATTCAATGTTAAAGACAAATCAAATGTCAGTAAACTCTGTACAAAATTACTTACACTGTCAGTTGATTATGAACCGATATATATGGAACATGTCTTCCAAGCAGTGTTGATAGACAACGCAGAAAGCCGATATAAGGAGATTTTACTTGTATAACTGACATATTTAATAAAAGATCCGAACAATCAACAATTTCTACCAGTGACAATTTTTTATGACTTTGAAAACTGCTAGAGGTTTTTCTATTTTGTGAATCAATCTTTGGAGGTGTTCTGTTGATTTTTGATGGGACGAATTTCTTCGTGAAGATACTGAATATGAAATCGTGCAGTTCTTCATAATGCTTAACGGAAAACGGACGAAACAAAAGAGTGCGAAAATTTGTCAAATAAATAAATGTACGCAGAGTTTCCGATTGCATAAATGAATTTATTTTGATTGAATAAGATGATAAGTTTGGTTATGCATGCTCAACTATTGATAAACTTAAAATATGATATGCGTATTCCATAGTGTCATAAATAATGTTTCATATGCTATTTTTAAACATTACCGAACTAGAAGACGGAAGCTATTTGTAGATTCAAGAGTAAAAAACTCCATTGCAAACTTTTTCGATATTGCTTGGATTCCTAGTCACGAAATCTTTCAACTTATAAATTCATAGAGTTTATCGTACTAACCGTTAATAGTTACCTACCTTTACTCCGGCTGGAAACCATTTAAATGAGGCGAATTGAAATTGAGCTCGAGTAACTTTTACATTGAGTAAGTTTTCATGTTTAACTGATTGATCTAATTCCATGAGCCTTTGTGATAATTCCACTAGACTGGATTGCGTAATTAGAGTCGAATGATGGTATGTAATGGCTGGCTGACAAGCTGCTAGCAAAAACTGACGCCAATCAATGTAATACACTTGTTTTTCACGTATATTATTTACTTTAATCAAATCGTTATTATCAATGGTTGTTGTTGTATTCAATAATATCACTGAGTTCTTCACAGAATTTGTTTCAAACAATAAACGATACTTATAAACAAGACCTGTTAACAATTCATTCGATGTGTCAGTAGAGCATGAGCCAGTTAATTCAGTAAAACGTTCTATTAGAATTGGTCTCAATATACTTTGAAAATTGACAACATCAATAAAGCCTGTATGGGTTAGAGCTACAAACTAAAACAAAAATGTAAAATGCAGAACATTAAACATATCATAAATCTATAGATTGTAAGGCAATATGTAAAGTGTTTTAAAATAGCATCACTTTATCCTTTAGGCGAACTCTTATCAATCAACTACTACTCGTCTTAGTCACTCAGAATTCAGAATTTGAAACAATAAAAGGTTGATAATTTTCGTGATTATTTAATCAAATGTTATTCAATATTATCCAATACTTTTAATTGATGGGTACATCAAAAGGAACACTTCAAAGATAAAACATACCGGTCAAATAATACTCATGTGAAAGTAACAATAAAGAAATGAGTCATAATCTATTTAAGATTTTCGCCGCTAATGAAATGCATTAAAACAGATAATTTGTATATTCACAGATTTTTTTTTATATGAATGCCAATGAATACATCATCAATAATTATTACTCACAATAGTACGAAGACTTCAATAATACACTCACTAACCACAATAACTCTGTCGCTCTTTGAATAATGTTCCTACTTCTACAACTTATACTTACAACATAGCTACTACTCTCATTCTAATCACAACGATTTGATGCACCTCACTTCATTTCATTCTGTTGACTAAACAAGCTAGGTTTATTTTCACACGGGCTAAAAAGGAGTACACTGGATCAATTGGTAAGCGAGAGATTTTGACGGGAGGTCAGTCAGTTGTGACAAATGAAGAACCAGACAAAAATGCGTCATCTCAAGTTGTCACACCATATTGGTAGTAGAAAGAGATAAAATTATCAAGATAATGGTGTGTTAGTGGCAGTAGTCACAAAAGTATAAGCAGATCTCGGGATTCAGGAACCAACAGGAGGGCTATAAAACGTGAATTCTTATGGGTTCTTTCTAAACACTTTTGAGCTATATCACCCAAAGTTTAACATCCAACAATTATTTCATAGACTGGTTACACATCTTTGTCAGATCGCCTCCACTTTTCTTCCAACCTAATTCTACGTCGGCAAACACCAGTCGTCATCCAAGGTACCTTACCTTGGTCCTTGAATGAGATTAGTCGATTTTGCTTGAACACTGCGTGAATATTTTGTATTTTCTGACAAAAACATGAGATATAATCAGGGGAGAAAAAATAAGTTGTGACTTACTTTATCACAGAGATATTTCAGTTGACTAAGATTAAAATATTGGGGTTCGGATTCAATTAACTTATTTACAACTGGTGAGTGAATTCGAAGTTTTTCCATTAAAAATGAATCATTGGAAATGGGTGAAGTGATGCAAGTCTGTAAGTAAAAGTAAAAAGAATGTATATCTGCATTTAATGCATGTAGAATTGTAGATTCTTTTATGAATAACTATTATAATTAACTTGTCTTAAAAAAACCGGGTTCGAACCAAATGTGAAATGATTTTGTAAAATACTTTTTAACTATACATAATGATTTAAACAAATATATTTCTAATTCAAGTGAACACAAAGGATATTGGAATGAAAAATATTATAAAACTAAAATGCTTACTTCATCAATGTAAAATTGTTCACCGTCTAGAATCATCTTTTCAGGAAGTCTCTGCTCTTTCTCAATCGTATACCGAATAACCTCAAGTGTGTTATTCACACTGAAATGTATTAAATCATAAATAGTGAATTGAAAGTTTGGATAAAATTTTAATGTGGAAAGATGGTGGAGATAAACTTATTTGTAATTAACATTGTGAGACAACCTTTAATTACTGGATAGAAGCAAACATCCGTTTCATCCTAGCATGAGATATTTGAGTAGTGTTCATCCTGGCCGCCTTTTGAGATTGGACTTTCATAGCAGACGGATTACTTTTAGGTCACTGAGTTGGGATAAAGCTATCCCAATTTCCTAATGGAATCAATTCGCGATATTCCTCAACTATCACACATTACTATCGGTAATATTTGTCTTACACCTAACACGGTTGGACTCCATCGGTCACAGCTCTCAAAAGAAACAATCGGGATAATATATATAGAATAGATAACATTATTATTCAATGTAGTATACGCGACAAAAATTCCCGGAACTTTTCAAAACGTACGGTCACAAGAAGAAACGAAAGGATTGTAGATGCATGAGAAGGTACTGTAATTTGAATAAAGCGCCCACTCATATGCAAATTAGTCATTTTTAGCGTCGAAAAAATTCAGCAAGCATACACTAATTTTTTATCTATTTCATAATAGGATTTTATCCCAAGACCGTTATGAATGTCAGTGTTTCAAGTGGTGATCACCCAGGTACAGAATAGATCCTAGCCCCCTTTCTAAAGTGATGCTAGTCAAAAACATTGCTTACATTCAGATAAATGCCGTCATTTCGTAACGCTCATCCTATACATTCAATATTATGTCCACACAATAAATGCAGGGCACTTAAATAATTGTTGACAATCGAATTTCTGAGTCAGTAGCCAGGATGCAGCTGGTTCAAACTCAGCAAAAATTTAGGCTTTCTTTCCAATTCCTTGGTCAATTTTTATTAGTGTCCTAGTAATCTTCGCAAGTTCTTGTAATATTTTCCCCTAGTTTGTATAATGTTCTGTTTAAAGTTCAACCTTGTGTGCAATGGCATGACGTAGCAAAAAACTGGTTGTAAAACGATACTGTATTGAACTTACGCATCATGTTCTTTGAGTGTTTTAATTCCAATACAATCTGTCATAAATTGTTTTAACTGGGAAATCTTTTCTTGTAAATCTGATAGAATGGCTGATCCTTGAGCTCTTATTAGTGTGAAACGAAAGGCAGTTTTAGCGGCTATTGGAAAATAACGAAATTGGAGGATATTAGAAAGGAGATGGTAAAAAATTCTTCAAAATATTTGATCATGAGATATAAGAAATTATTATTTTACGTAACTGCCTGGCTAGAAATCATGGAGGTTTTGAGCTTTGCTTACTAAAAAGTCAAGCAATGAGATCAGTAAGTCAAATTACTGTATACTTATCTGAACCACTTTGGTAGATGCAGGTTTCTTGATTGGGGCTGCTACAATTTCTTAGTCAGTGTCAGAGATGTTGGATTAAATGGTCCAAAACTAGTCGCGGTTACATTCATTCTTTTTTATTCTGGATCTGAAGTTAGTTTTCATCTCTAACTTTTCATCCTTTGCCATGATTTGTTGTTCTTAATAAATATCTTTATGTTCAGATTTTTGTTGAAGTTACAGTTATTTTTGTCATTCACTTCTCATCCTTTTAATTTCTCTTCTCTCTGTGATGATATTAGGTATGTAAACGCAAACTGATACGCCTTTGTACCAGATCCTATAATGTTTATGACTAACTTCAGAAGTAACAGAGAGCTATGTACTGTGAATGGAACTAGTTCATAAAAATTCTCCCAGTCATTCAAATCTACAATTAAAACTGTTTAACGTATGAACATGAACCTTTTGGTAGTAATTTTTAAACGAGGATGCAGATGAGCTTGAGAAATATGAGAATAATAAAGTATGGTATTTCCCTCTAATATCTCAACGAACTGAATTGAACGATTTCTGTAGCAATATAGTAAACCAGTTCGAAAGTTGTTGGATGCCGACTCAATGGTTTAGGAGTTGGGTGCTCGAACGCAAAACAGATGGTCCTGGCTTTGAATCCTAGATTCGGGGTCGCGAAGGTGCACTGAGGGGGATTCTCATATTAAGGTGAAATAGCCATTCAGTCCGACTAGGTTTTATTTACTGTTCTTCGACTACGATCAGTTCATTGTTTCCAGATCTATGAGGATTATAGTGATGTTGGGAGTATGAATACTCTTTTATTGAACATTTACACTTAGGTGTCACCAAGCTAACTGATGTGTTATCAAGTTTACCATATGGCTAATATGATAGGCGAACGATGTTGGTTAGCTGGAGGAAACTGAAAGTAGCTTTGTTTAGCGAATTCACTAGTAATACAGTGTTTATTTTTCATTTAGTTTTGAGCTTTTCATCCATAACAAAACGACGAATGTTATTTTCGGTCAATAAATGCAACAGATTAGTTGATTCAACTTTATGAAGAATAATTGCTTGACTTTATCGAACCTCGTGCAACCAGAACCAACCTATATCTTATGAGTATTTTACATAGTGAACTCTTATAATAAAAATGATAATAATAGTAATAATAATAATAATAATAAGATCAGGGTATACAAATGATGACAAAATGATATTTATAAGTTCTTGTATCTAAATATCTTTAATCACATATTCACCTTCTTTTTCTAGTGCAGCTATATGTTCTTCTCTAATATGCTGTCTAACTTCTCTAGCCTTTTGATCTTCCTCAGACAGTTCTGTTAAATGAGAAAATGCAACGAAAACTGTACTCAATAAAATTAAACATTCATTTGAAAACCATAATTAATTTTATCGATCCATAGAGTGCAGATGAATTTATTTTAGTTTGATCTAAAGTATCATCGCAAATGCTAGTGTAATGAATTTCATAAGCAGCACCGGGGAAGGTGCAGAGAATCGAGGGCGACTCTACATAATTATTGTTAGTTGAATTATCGATTGGTTTGCAGACTATGGGAAACTATAAGTCCTTGAATTGACTATTGACTGAATTCTTACATCCTGAAAAAAAGTGTTTTTTTATATGATTTCTATAAGTTGTGGATCTATGGCTTGCCGAGATCAAAATCTTCAACTGCAATCTTCCTCGTGTCGAGCCCTTTCAGTCTTTGTTCACTTAACATAATTAGCAAATACAAGTTGATATTTATATGTAACAAGTTGTAACACCGGTGATTGTTAAGTGACAGAAATGTTAGGAATGTAGTTAATCAGATACTGATTTAGTGGATCAGTGATATAGCATCATACTTCAAGGCGTCTGAAAATACTAATTTCAATCCCGAATAGAGTTCTGGATATCCACTGCCAAGAAGCTCTACTAAACTAAGGTGAAGCAATCGTACCTTACTTCCTAGCATTCAATTCGTCATCACAACAGTGGTTTGGTTAGTCAAGTATATTGGTCTACTTTATGATGTTTAACTATTCATTTTACTCAGCAGTAAGTACTTTGTAAAGTATTTGCAAACTAAAGTATATAAGGTGTAGTATAGTAGCTATATATCATTAGAAATGTGTAATGAATGCAAAAGTAATAAACAACCTGGAGTAGTTGATTGTTCATCAAGTTTGAGCCCCTTTTCTTTAGACCCCACCGATTTTCTCTGTCCTTTCCGAGGTTGCCCACCTTTATTTTTATCTTCTGAGCTTGATTTACCACCTTTTAAATCTGTAGGCTTAAGTGATGATTCCACTGTATATCCGTCTGACATAGCTTCACTCGCTCTAGACTTCCGTTCTGTTTGTACCTTAAACAGTAAAAGAATACATGTTAGACGGAATGGGGAAATAAATATATTTAATAAAATTTTCAAGTATGGTTTTAAAGTTTGTTCAACTTAATTGCTTTTGAGATGATCAGTTAGCAAACTGATAAAATGTAAATTGAATGGCTTTTAAAATTTATGTTTAAAAACTGGTTTATAAGATTTCACGGATCGTTTTGAGAAGAATGTGGCTTGATGATGATGTAAATGTCTCCATAATAATGCTTGAATAAAGCTTTAAAAAAAATAAGCATTGATATTTCAAATGGGCATATAAGCCAATATGCATTACTGAATATACTACAGTTAGTCAGGCTGCACGGTAGAACTTCGTACGTACGCACATCAGTTCAAGTTAAATATATTGCAGCATTATTACGATAGCTAAGGACAGTTTAGTGGTTATCAGAAATACTCACTATTTCCTTTTGAAATTATTGCAATTATTGTATTGATTTTTATCAGTCAACTATAATTCGCGTAAGGCCTCGATAGTTAATACTTCAAGTTTATGGTATTTTGCATATCAGTGAAAGTACTAGCAAAAATGTTGAAATGTGGTGGTTCGCAAAAAAATATAATGTCTAGACGGTTTATAGCCTGGAAGCACTAAGGTACATAATGCAATGATAATATCGTACAATGATTCGGTTTATGTAGAGGTGATTATCATACTCAAGAAATGATTGGCAAAGATTATGGTGATGTTTTACTGGACGAATTTCTATGATAGCTAGTTCCAGTCAGTTTTGTAATTAAAGATTTATTAGCTCGAAATGTTTAGAGCGAATTTTCTATCTCCATTAACTGTAGCAAACAATCAGACTGTTTATAGGTTTTCACGCTTTTTGGAGCGACAGTAAAAATAATGAATTGTTAACATAATTATGAGATCAATATCAGGTGTTTTAAATTTACTAGGTGCTCGATGGCTCCATTTAAGTTGCTATGATGATTTCAAAGGTGATTTTCACCATAAACTCAAGTCAGATAAACACACGGAATGAGGATCATATATATGATAAGTTGACAGAATTTAAAAGTATCGTCTGTTGAACTCCGAGTAAATAGAAAATTTGAACACCACAGACTCAACTTTGTCATGGATTGTAGCGTTAGACTGTCGAAGTGTTGAAAATTATAATAACTCGGCTCTTCTTGATGACGATTCTTCTATGGCGTCAACTAATAATAAAAGTTACCTGCAAACCAAACAAAGACCTTCATAATACAACCATACATTTAGGAGGTTACTACTGGAAACCGTGGAGCGATAAATAGTAGTTTCGTTTTATGATTCCACCAGAGGTCAAACATTAAATCTTCAGGTTTCACAACGAGCAAATAACCTCCAGGTTGGAGTTCAATGGGACAGTTACAGTTTCAATGAATTCACGATCCCCTCTCAGCATCCGAAGGTCCCAGGTGGGTTCTTTAGTGAAATAGCGGAGGCATACTGTTGAGAAGTATCGAGCCAGCATGAAACATCTGTCCACTACTTTCTGGCTTCTGATCAAATTTTAACTGAGATTGATGCGCAACAAACATACCCTATGAATTAAACCGATTTCAGAGAAAATGTCTACAACGCAGGTGTTATGGTCTTTGATTTTTCCGATTTTTCAAAACGATGATTGTGGCTGATCAATGATAACCTGATTGTGAAGAAAAAGAAAAAATTTCCAGAAGAATTTTTCATGTATTCAAATATAAAATACCTTGATTTGGAAATGTATTTCACATACATTATTGTTCATATCTAATATTAATCTAAATATGTAATAAATAGTATTGATTTGAACTGACTGATCATTTTAAAATCATAAGGCAGTAGACATTTAAACAATCCTATTTTCAGTGTCTTTTCAAGAAAATACTACTAACCTGATTCGAAATAATTTGCATAACACTTAGAAAAACATTGTACAAAAACTGAAGTGATGCATCTGTAGATGGAGTCGGTTTATCTAGAAGAAGATTGACTGGATTTGATAAGGTCGGCTTTTCTTGAGTGGGATTCGCTTTCACAGTACTATTTTTAGCTCCTTTTCGATTTGGTTGACTAGACGTCGAAACAGTTTGATTAACCAAAGGTAAACCGTCTGTGTTGAGGAAAGAAGAAAGATGAATTAATTAGTTACAGTACGAAATGTCTCTTCAATGTTTCCAGGTTTTCATACGTCTCTCAGCTACAGGCAGTACATAGTGAAAACCAGTTTTAGAAATTGATCTGATCTTTAAGAAACTCTCGAACAAAATAATTTCGTTCAATATTTATTAAGCAAACGGATATAGTTTGTAAAAATATACTAGTTCCGATAAATTTTTGGTTCTTTTAAATACAGTTTTGGTGAACGAAGGGGTTTGAAATCAGCGGTTGTCGAGGCTACAATCAACATTCCGATTTTGAGCAATCGTAACGCGAAGTCACATTTAAAGCCATTGATTAATGTTATTTGTGGACTTAAGCTGACTACTAAACTCCTAAATTTTTGGCTGAGTAATTTGGAGAACGTGAAAAACGTATTTTGAATTGATGACAGATATAGACAATGTGAAAACCATCAGAAGTATGCCTAGGTCCAAGTTGTCGCATGTTGAATCAACAAGTTCGGAGGAAATCAGCTAGAAAATTGAAGAGAAATTATTCAAACTGTTATTGGTACAAATAAAAATCAAAAAATATTTGAACTGTGAATTGGAAGGTAGATTATGTTGAATGAACAGTATTTATGCTCAAAACCCAGAAGAAGATAATAGAGGATGAATTGTTTTTAGTGTAACCTTTTTAGAATAATTTTTACTGACATTTCTAGGTATTGAATACATTTTCTCCGAAGACCCTAACTAAGAAGCCTATGGTATCGTTGACGGTCTGAATTCTTACCTCATCAGTCAGTTAAACACAAGTATCTAGTATTTTAGAAAGGATATAAGTGCTACCAACTCATCAGTACTGTGATACGCATAAAATTTTTGGAGGAAATCCCCGATCAGAAACTATTAAGCTGCACTTATCTTTCACCTTAAGAGACCCTATTTAATAATTTTGTTGCGATGAAGAGAAAACTTCTTTACAATTTAATTACTTTTAAAATATGAACTAGACCATCACATGCACTACAAGAGAACTATAAAACGTTCGAGGTGCCCCATCGAATAAACGACTCCTACACAAAATCCCAAAACCAAAATGCTAGATATGTCTGAAAAGCAATGTAAACATCAAGTATTTGCAAACAGTTGCATTAGCTGTTTAGGAATCAGCTAACCAGTTAAGAGTACAATAAAAAAGAATTTACACCTTTTAACAGTGTAAAGAACAAGATTTACAGCACATTCTATAAACAAGAAAACATCTCATGGATTAATCAAGTGGGAAACGGCAATTAACGAGAAATCAATGAAGAGCTGTATGTAAAATAAACAAACTGTCCGAATTAATCAGTTTCAAGATGGAGTATACAAAAGGAAAAGTAAACAAGTAAAGGGAGAAAGAACTATTTCTGGGAGTATAGGAAACGACTCCAAGCATTAAGATAAGTGTATGTAAGAATGGGATAAGTGGTTGCGGCCAAAAAATATCATGGTGTACAGGGCACTCATAAAAATGGTTAAACGTCTTGAACTACTGAATATTAGTGAGTAGTGTGAAGTTTCTTACAAAATACAAACGAAGGGAAGGTGAGGCTGGAATGTGAAAATTTACTTTAACTGGTGACGTAAAGGGACAAAAGTATAAGCCTCTTTTGTTCAAGTGGAGTTTTCACAAATCGTTATGAAAAAAGTAATCAGCACGTTCAACTAAATTATTTATTATTGACAGGAAGAAAATTCACACAAGCAATCAATATTTATATTCATAGGAAGAGAAATTCAACGCAAGTACTCGTTAGTGGAAATTCACACAAGCAATCAATATTTATATTCATAGGAAGAGAAATTCAACGCAAGTACTCGTTAGTGGACAATCATGGAGTCTAGAAACCCCTAATTTTTGTGTTTTTATAACAAAGGATTTTATTGCGTGTGTGTTAAGACCTGAGGTTTGGGGAGTCAGGACCAGTATTTGTAATTACTTCAACAAGCACTTTGAAAGTCAACCTCTGCTTCATGATGAGATGGTATACAATTTCCACAGTTCCACTCGTTTACTAATGATGGAGTTGTTATCATAATGCTGTTGGTAGGGTTCTATCTTGATTTCATACTGTCTCGTAGTTTCTGGAGGTGATGGCGATGTAACTTTCAAAAAACTTATAGGTTAGAATGGAGCTTCAATTGTGATAATTTTTAAGAACCCGGATTTTCGTTCAACAATCAGTCGAAATTACATGCAAAATATATGAATATAAGTGGCAGTGAGCTAGGTACCTATTGGACACTCCATATCCACCAGTAAAGGTGCATAGTAATGAATTAGGAATTTTTCATCAGATCGTTATGATACAGACTTGATATGATTGAATTATCGATGTGATAATATGAACAGTTTGCAGCACCTCACATATATTTTGTACTTTTATCATTGTTGAGCTTGTATGCGCTTGTATGTACGCTTGGGCATTATTTACCACCAACACACAGTTATTTGACTAGCTTTATCAATTAAAAACAGTTTAAATAATTCGATGGCAATATTGACTATACATATCTGAGTTAACCGATATTTGTATCAATCACTAAAATATTTTGAATAATAAAGAAATTGTGGCAACGACTCGTGTTTTATTACAGTAGCGGTCATCAAGACGGAGATAAACGGAATTTAGAAGATAAAGATAGTCCAATACCACAGAAAATTGGTTAGCCCGACGTGATTGTTAATATTGTCAAGACATATTCAACAATATGAATGAATTAATAAACGTGTAATGAAAATACGATAATAGTATTCAGCAAGAGTAATGAAAGTCCACAGTAATAATCGAATGGAGACGGAGACGTATTCATTTGAACTCGTAGGAAACGGCGTTGTGTTCTTTCGACGGGCTCACCAGTTTATTGTGGCATTGGACTATCTTTATCTTCTAAATCACGTCCGGCTCACCATTTTAGCAGCTCACTACTGGACTCCAATGTGGACGAACGATCGAGTGTGCAAAGAAATAAATCCTCCTTTCCACTTCCCTATATTATACTTAGGCTAACCTCATTTGTGCGACGGCGGTAGTAAGAAGCCAAAATACGGTGTTGCGGATGAATTTATTTCATGTATTCATTTATGCAGACAAACATGAGAAGGAAGCGTACAAGCAAAACTAAGGGAACTGGAGAAGGCAAGTGAGCCAACTCTCCATGAGTTGAAGAATTACTAAGTATTTATAGTCAAGCTATAATAAGCTCGCTTATTAAAGCGAGTAAGCATCCACACACAATCAAATATACAAAAAGATTCCTCCTCTAGCAGATTGTTTTAGTGAGTAGCGAATGACAGTTCCGTGAGGTTTTCTTTGACACTATGTCTCACACTAAAGACCTCTCCTCTTTCCAACCAGTCACAGAGCCGGAAAATGATATATGGTGTGGAATTCACGTAGACAACATTCGAAGTACTTGTCCAAGCCACCGAAGACGGTGTTTCAAGATAGTGACACCAACTGAATTACCATCGATGTGCCCAGACACACTGCCGGACTTCTGCATTACTGACACAGTGTTGCCGCTGAATGTCAGCAATCCCTCTGTAGCATCCATGATCAAACACAAGAACTTTCCTACAATCTTCAACTTGGAGAGAACAGGTTTCACAAGCATAGAGCAAAACTGCTCTCATCAACAGGTTGTATACCCGACCTTTTACGTCTAGACGCAAAAGATAACCTAAATCAGAATAAACCGCTTTGTCTTTTACTGTACTCACACCAACAACAGCACTTACACAGTTATCCAGATACATGAACATTTCGACCACTTATATCTGCTCATTAGCAATATTAAATGTAGGTTCAGGGTCTTGCCAGTCTTGTAAAAGTACTTTGAGCTTAGAAGATGCAAAGCACATGCCATGCCTACGGACACTGATTGCCAACTGATTAAGTGTGGATTGCATGACTGGGGAATCAAGGCACAATAAGGCTGTGATCTGCATACGAATAGTCAGGAAGTCTTTTTCTGAATGACAAAATCTTCACTATCAATACCTTTGTTGGTCAAAGCTGATTCCAGCAAATCATCGATGGCAAAATTGAAGAGGAATGTTGAGAGTGGGCAACCCTGCATAACCTCATTGCTTGGCTAAAGCAATTCTTTCATTCTGCCTACGATTTTAGTACTTGAGGCTTCACAGACATGTGTGTTCAGCGAGTTGAAGGTGGCCCTAATGTAAAGAAACACATCAATTGTTGGCCTGTGATAAGTGTGGCAGTGTTCCAACATTTGCCAGAGCGCGAAGAGATGATCGAAAAATCTCGCGGTTACTGGGGATAAACTGACGTGCCTCAACGAGTTTTAAGGAGCTTGTAGAAACTGAGTTAATGAGTCAGAATCCAATGGTTCACCTACTTGACTTAAGCTACTTCGGTATACAGAGCGATTCTTACTCAACTTTACTGGTCACTTATTGATTAGTTCCATAGATCATTCCTACTACGAAAAATTCTGATATGCATCCCAAAGTTATTTACTGGTGGAATTATGATTATTATTTCCTCCGGCTGTTGTTCGTAGGCTTATCGGTTTCGGTTTTCATCACAGATTGATATCGAAGTTCGTTGATAAATTTTCTTCATATGGATGTATACATATATGATACATATTAAACAAATGAATTATTTCAAAATCGACAACAATCTAGAAAAATTCAAACTTGTAGCACACTGACTTTTACTAAATGCTGTAAATATTTCTTGTAATGATGAATTATAATTCAACAAATTAATTTGACTGCGAAATTCAGCGGGCAACATTTCAAATTTCAGATCCATTGAACTTGAGTATTTTGACAAAACCGCATTGTTTAAATCGATTAGTTTGGATTTATTAGGTCTATTTGAACTAGATCTTGAAGAATTTTGCCTTGTTGACGTGCTTTTACGCGATCCCGGACTATCAGTATTCTCGGTAATTTCATCAGGAAGCTAGAAAGTAGATGAAAGTTTGATACATACATACATACATAAGGTTGATAATTTGTTATCGTTTTTCGATAAAAAACGGAAAATGTTGAAAAGTATGGATCTCAAAACAAAACAAATCGGGGAGGAAAGTTTCGAAATGAGAAATTGGGTAGAAATTCAATGCCTTTTATTTCCGTTTTATAATTTCTTAGTATTGATCATACAGAGCGTTGAATTTTTCGAATTTGGTGCTGAATGGAGAAGTTCGAGCTTTAGCAGGAGTATTTTGACTGTTGCTCTAATGAATGAAAATATCACTGGTCGATAATGATCAACAATCACTTAGAATACCACTCACTAATTCTGCCAGTGGTCCGATGGTAAGGCGTTCGCCCAAAATGCCAAAGGTCCCGGGTTCGAATCCTGCGAGGAGCAGGAGTCGTGGATGCACACTACTGATGAGTCCCATACCAGGACGAAACGGTCGTCCAGTGCTTCCAGGTTTCTAATGGTGGTCTAACAATTATTGATTGATGATTTCAAATATGTAAAAACATAACATTAATGAAACCTTATTTGAGTTTAACAAGTTACCAGTCAATCAATTATTGACATTTAAGTAGTGGTTGATATTGCAAAAGTAATAACACTCAAAGTAATAATATATTTCTTTTTATAACTTTAACTTGATAATTAGGGATTGCTGATCATTTTCTTACTATTTCATAAAATAAGGATGAGATGATTAATATGTATGTACTCGATAACTCACCTTAACCAATGGTATTCGTGTATATTCCATATAACTGGCGTCTATTGTTCCTGATAAAGCTGGAATCGATTCATTTTCGACTGTTTGACGTCTAGCCTCCATTGCACTGAAATCCATATGTACACAGATTTGTTATTAACTGTGAATTATAAGATATTGAGTTATAAGTTACTGAGTTATGTTACGGTATATTTCACTCTAGTAGATAAGTTCATCAATGCAAGACAACGTGGGCTTTGAAAGTATCGTTAACGTCTTATGAATACTCACTGCTGAAATGTATGAGAGTTAGGTGTGAATGTTCACTTGATGAGATTTCAATTGTTGAAAACCCTAGATAGACTGAGATGAAGTCAATATCACCAGTGAATGCATGTTTACTGTTTACTATAATCTAGAAAACTCATGTAATGGTTACGTTTTCATGATATTATTCTTCCTCTTATTACTACTGACTAACACAGCATATGTTTATTTCATTAAGTGGCTAAACAGAGGAATTCCTCGAAGTAATGTTTTTCAATAAAATATGACACAATTAACTCTTCGTAAATTCAAGCATTATCTACTTGTAAAAATCATGTAATCTAATTTTACTCGATTTAGTTAACTACTGGACGTTAAAAAATTACATATATTTACACTATTAGTTTCGTAAATCATAAATTCGTTGTATTTCGTTACCGTTCCCTCATTCATCTACAACAAGTTATTCGATTTAGTTAATTTAAATTGAAGCGTCAATATAGTCTAATCGCAGTTAAAAATCCACTTTCATTATAACCTCATCAACAAAATTATCAGTCAATTTGTTCAATGACTACTTACCTATAATAATCCTTTATCAATTGTGCATTCTCTTGAAAACGTGTCAGTTCAATTTGAAATAATAACAAATATGAATTGATCAACAATCTTTGTTTATCTGTAAACCAACCAGGTATATCTAGTAAAAGTTTCAAACGATTTTCATTTGCTTGTTTTGTTTCATCAATGATTTCGTAGAATGTATCACGAAGATCATCGGTTCGACAATGTAAATCAGCTTTAGTCTCTTTATCTGAACGCATTTCAGTCAGTAGCGAATTAAATGTCTGTTGAAAATTGAGATTAGAAAAAAAATGGATGTATGCGTCTGTTACTCCTTTTATAATATCCAGTGGTTTGTAAAGGTAAAAAAGGTTACAAAAGATAAGCTGAGTGTCCAAAAGAAACCCTACTCAAGAGGACTCATTAAAAAGGCTGAAGGTAAGTACTATATATATATGCGCTTTCACAGACCACTTATGAAGGACAACTTACTCTACTTAAAAATGAACAACTGGTGCAGTACTCTATTCAGGAAGCAATGCTGTACTCTAAAATAGCTTCAGCTTCGACTAGGAGTTTTTCTTACATCTTACTATTTACATGATTATCATTTCTATGAAGAATGTTCAGTTAAAATCAATTATTTACTTTCGTTTTTAACAATATCTCTATTGTATATTAACTTGATGAGGCCTAGAAATTGATGTACATTCAGTAATTGTCTTGAGAATGTAGATTAGCGTTTCTTTTCAAAAGCAACACAGATAAGACTTTGATGAGAATAACAGTATTAGAATCATCTGTTAAGAAAATAGGAACTATATTAGGTCACTAACATTTGGGGTATTATCAGCGACAGTTTCTGAACCTTCAGGTTTCAGGTAGGAGGTGTTTACTAACCATCTGTGACTATTCAAACAGTGATGATGACAGCTAATCAGCGGATCAATAACTGATGATTGCAAATAATTTAAAAAGGTTAAAGCAACTGAGACAGAGATTAACCTGTTCCGCGTAATCTAAAAATATACAACTCACGCCGATGAACTGGTTAAGGAAATGTTGTTTTGCATCAGGTCTGTATAAATAGTTATAAAATTGTTGTTTAATATGATAAATATGCGGTATAATGTTTGAATTCAGAAGACGGATTTGGCGGAAAACCGACTTCAAATTCTGATGATAGATCGCTTCCGTGTTATTCCATAATTCCCATAATGTTTGGGCAGAGTTCTGTTAGGAGAAAATAATTAAAAAAAGCACTGATGAGAAATTGAATATAAGTAAAATAACGTTTAGTCTTTATAGGAAATCTCATTCTTAGAGCACCACTGTCTGCTAAATGCCGAGAAAATATCATTGGCGTTATATACCATGAAGTGTTTAAAATCTGATGCTCGTTAATGGCTGTAAAAAAAGAGCCGTGATATATAGGAAATCTAGTGGAACCGAAAAGTATAAATGGTTGTGAAGTGTGACAGTAAAATGAAAATGTGTTTATTAGATATCGAGGTTGGAAAAACAGGCACACACTAATGGTTATCACATATGTTATTTCATATCCTCTTACTGATGATTTCTACTCCAGACACACTGCGTGTGACTGTTTGTAATCATGTGGAATAAAATATGGTCTATTGCTTACTCAAATACTTCGTTCACTTCTCAAAGTAATCGAACATTCGTTTATTTAAGAATTTCTAGACTATTCTTTTTCGTCGTTTAAAAATCCTCCTTATATGAACGAAGAATATTATTTTCAATAAATTCTCACCAGCTTCTACAATTATACACATCAATAAACAGTCCAAAAAATGCTCGAGTTGAAGGCAATATATACGGCTGAACATTATAATAGTATGTGAATGCAGGATTGTTTGTAATATAAAGCGTTAATCTGAAGTGTTCATTTGACCAAGGTTATACCCCAAAAATGAAATTGTGAGATTAATAATCTGCATAAATATGCTTAACATGAAGTGAGAGAGAGAGAGGGATAATAATGCAACTATCTAATTCGATCGAATGTGTTTAGTGGATAATGGTGATATAAATTCGGTACTATTCTAAAGGTGTGATGAGTTCTACGTAGATTGTTCATGAGTTTCGGTGATCGATAGTGGTGTTATACATACGTTCGACTAAGAAACGCTGTATGTACACTAGTCAAATTAGATCATTCTATAGCTACGACAAGACTAACTATCGGTCAACTGAGCCAGGGGTTGGCCATCATAAGAGAAGGGGTTGAGCGGGTTGCTTTTTAATTTAGATATATAATTATAGAAACTGATGAGAATTCATTGAAAAGAGTATTCTTTTTTTTTTAGTTGCACCGAAACTGACATGGAGAATTGGCAACTCAACAAACTGATAATCTTCATCACCAGGCTGTGGCAATTCTGGTAGTGAAGCAGCCAGCTGTTCTTTATCATGTTCCTTGACTATTAACTGAGGCGAATCGATAGATTTCAACTTTGTCTTCTTTGATTGTTTCTTTTCGCTACCAGAACGACTTCTGGATTTATCTTTCTGAACGGATCCCGGTCGTTTGTTACGGTCACTTGAATTTGTTCTTGCGTTTCTATTATCTTGATGTTTGGCACTTCGTCCTGCTGACGGAGATCTACTTCCTAATGATAGAAACATAGTAACACAAACGAACAAGGTTAGGAACTTAAAACAAAAATTCACAAAGCTAAGAGATGACAATTTTACGCTAGTTAAGTGATCATTCATCTTGACCAAATGCCCGTACTGTTATTGAATATTGCAATCGATGAGATTATTATGACCAATATGATTTTACATCTAATGTCACTTATCCAACATGCTCAACGGTCAATAAAACAACTTTAAAAAATACGGAGAAATTCATCTGTTCATGAATTTAAGTTAATCGTATTTTCAGATTGCTAGGGTATCCATCCAGTATCCTTAGATAAGTCTAATTCTATTTGCCGTCCTAACTATCAATGTCTCAGACCTCAATGTTGGTTCCTATTCAACCAAACTGTATAAATACGCATTATCTGCAACGTTTTATCACCCGGACCAGGACCAGGCCCCGGATCCCTAGTCCGGGATCCTGATTCTCTTCTGAACTCAGACCTCGTACGTTCTGGATGCTTGTAGAATACATGTTCTACTACATCATAACAAGTCTTCTTCTTTTACTCAATTAGGGTTTGGGACATTCGGATTAGAGTAGCACGTTGTGTCGCCGGATCATCTATCCTCGCTCTTGTTTCCCGACTAAGGTAGACTCGTAATAATTCACTCATATCAAAATGACATTTTTTTACGTGCATTGGTAACACAGATGAACAACTTTTACTGTATAAAATATATGTAAAAGAGTATAAAAGAAATGATTGACTACTTATGAATCACCTGTTTTCCGTTGACTTTCATCACTTCCTTCTTTTTTACTACGATTACTTTGTCTAGAAGTGGTAGAATTTTTACCACTAGATGATGCTTTAGCTGTTAAAGGACGACGAGTAGAATGTGGTGAGTTAGTGTCATTATTTTTGTCTTTGGATTTATCTTCATTCGTGTTATGCTCATTCATATCTGATTTCTATAACAATTAAAACAAAGAAAGATAGGTTGTAATAGGAAATGATCACAGTAAGCAATTTAGGCAATAATGTTTATTTTTCATAAGTGGAATTGGATTTAATAAGCTGGTACATCAAAGTTAGACTGCGACAAAAAAGAGTAAGTAGTAGATCGGATAATTTTGTCTCACTTTAAGATTTGTATTAATTTAAGTGGTCACCTCTGTATAGAGCTTTGACGCTAATCAGTGAACAATGTATTTGATGGCTTAATAAAATTCACACTGAATTGCCTTCACTTTATCAGTGAAACATAGTGTTATCGAATTTTGTCTACTTTTGACAAAGGTCTAAATAGTATGTTTGGTAGGTCATGGAAGAAAGAGGGATGGAAGGAAATGACTATTTTTAAATCATGTTGACAAAATGCTTGTATGCATTGTTGTTCGCCGTTGGTAGATCATAATTTCGAAATATTAATATTTAAAAGACACAGAAGTTTAGTGAAACAAACAGTATGTATGATTTAATCGGAACCTAGATGATATGAGTAGTTTTATAATATTCATGCTGTTTTTAATTGAAATCATGAACTTGGAAACAGTGGGCGGCTGTTTCGTCCTAGTATGTGACTCTTCAGTAGTGCACATCCACTACCTCCGTTCGAGGGAATCAAGCACAGGGCCTTCGGTCTCGCGCGAACGCTTAACCTAGAGACCACTGAGCTGGAATCCAATAGTGTTAATGTCGTCCAACTTTGATCGATAGTTTTATAAGTAAAATATCTTTCAATTAATGATTCCGGGCGATCGAGAATTCTCAAGAGAATTATCGGTTTCCATTTTTACAGATGTATTACATGCAACAGAAAATAAAAGTCGAATGAACTCTAACTGGTAGTGTTCATGTTTACTTAGATGCACTAATTATATAGGGAATTAATAATGAGAATATGCCCTGTCTAAAAATATGTTAACTATGGGTTAAATTTATCTAATTATTAAAAAAATGATTAAAATTCGTGAATGCCACTGAATATGGTTAACTTGTATTTGTGTTAAACTCTAATATTCTTTGTTTACGTCTGTTACCCCCAATAGAACATGGGCCACCGAACATTATTTACTAACCTACTCTGTCCTGAGCTTCCATTACTAGTTCTTTCCAGTTTTTATTCATTCTTCTAATTTCTGTCTGCATTTCTCGGCGTAATATGTTGCTTGGCCTTTCTCTTTTCCCCTGACCTTGAGAGTTCCCAGTGAAAGCCTGTCTTGGGACGCATTCGGGTGCTTTCCGCAATGTGTATCCTAGTGTATTTCAGTGTGTATTCCAGTGATTCCTCTTCGTTTCTTCGTCTTCTGGAATTTGGTTTGTAGTCGATTGTGAGAATTCCGTATGATGTCGACTATCTTCTCAGGCACGCCATGGTTTCGAAGAAGACTCCACAGTGTTCTCCTGTCCACACTATCAAATGCTTTCTCGTAGTCAATGAAGTTGATGTAGAGTGGTGAGTTCCATTCAATTGATTGTTCTGCAATGATCAGTAATGTTGAAATTTGGTCTGTACACGTGGTGGTGGTGTTTGGTTCTCTGAGCTGAATGTTTTGGTTGTGGAGCTTTCATTGTTCTTCTGAACAACATCATCAGCACAAACTTCAGATAGAAGTGAAGTATTCGAATTTCTCGACGTTTGACCCGTAGCTTGTTCTGCTGACCTCGATCTTGATTGGTTGCCGTTGACCTTAAACCTGTCGTTGTTTGCACCTTTGTTTTGATTGTATCCCCCCTTTTGATCTGTTTCTTGATCCTATGTCACCTACGCTTTTTTGTACACGGTCGATCCTTACGAAATGCAACCTGTCGGTCTCGAAGTTGGGTGTCTACCAAGTTCTTAATTCTGTTTAACAACACTTAGTCAAAGAATTTGCCCGGGATTGAGAGAAAAGTGATTTCTCTGTAGTTCTCTTTGGTATTTTCGTATTTTGACGAGGAATCATTGTTTCCAGTCTGTTGGTACTTGTTCTTCATTCCAAATCTTATTGAAGAGAATGTGGAATATTCTTTCTGTTGTTGCCACGTCTGCTTCCATTGCCTCAGCTGGAATGTAGTTTGGTCCCGCTCCTTTGGCTCTCCTTGTTTCGTCCGATGACCGTACTGATTTTTTTAATTGTTGATGGGCCAACGTCGACTGGGAGGTCCATGGATGCTGCTGCCTCGATGTTTGGTGGGTTCATAGGAGCCGGTCGATTCAAGAGTTCCTTCAAAGTACTCTATCCACATGCTTAGCAGTTATTCAGTGTTGCTGAAAATCAATTCAAACTATAATATAGATATAAAATTTAAGAATTAGTAGGTTATGTGAGGCATATGGTCAGCTGTGTCGTTAGATAATTAGTTTCACCTAAAATCGAAGGTAACTCTAGTACGAGAGATAAGACATTTTCTACTGAAGTGTATAGAGCATCTTGGATGTAACACTGTATGGTAATGTAATTACTTTTCATCTCTGCCAAATACATAAATTTACACTCTGAAGACCGTTGTGCTGTATATTCATTATCACCAAAGTAATCCACCTACTTTTTGATATTTTTAAGCAACCTTTCCATACATTTCAGCATCGACTTATCAGGGACTCATTGAATAGGCGTTAGATTTCTGTAGATCAACGAGATCAGTAAATGTAGTGTAATTAAGCAAAATTCTTCCTATAGATCTTTGCATATATGCCACTTTGGGAGTTTTTCTGAATTTGTAGCTTAGACTGCTAAATAATAGTTAAGTCACATTCTGGCTTATTCTTTCAGAATAACTCAAACGATTTAAGCGATACAATGTGTCCAAACAAATTTCACTACTGAACTAAAAACATTTTTTACTTTCAGTGTTATTGTTTGAAACTAAGGCTTACTTTATTATCACGATCATTTTGATCATCATTCTTAGTTGATCTTATGGTAGAACTTGCTAATAAGGTACGTGTGCTAACTGCCTCCTCCTCGTCATTCTCTTTCTCTAAATTTTTATCGACATTAATTACAGCAGCTGGATCGTTTCTAGTTAATTCCATTTGTTCAGCTGACTGGGTTTCCACCAAAGTTACGTTTTCTTTGCGTTTCATAAATTCTTCAATTTGCCTTTCAATTTCTAAATAAACAGCTAGTTTCACAGATTCATTATTATTTTCCATATCATGAACGAATGTTGCATTATCTAATAAATTTGTTAAGTTGACAACGCATAAATTTGATAATTTATGTTTTTGATAAAATTTATACAATTTTGGCCAAGTTTGAATAAAATTCACTAATCGTTCAGGTAGATTACCCTGTGTTTCTTGTAAAATGTACGAAGAGCAATCGAAATTATTAGAGAACGTTGAATTTTGAGTTTCGACCATTTCTGGTTTTGTATCGGTGGTAGGAATTTGATTGGACGTTGTATTCGTTTGTAAATCAACTTGATTATTGAATGGGATTTGTTCAATGGTTGTATATTTTGTCAAAGAATCGTTCAATTCTATTTTGGATAAAGTTGTATGCGCTACACGGTTTAAAACTAATTCATCCGATATATCTAATAAAATAATCAAATCTAAACCACTTTTTAACTTCAAATCTGTTGAGTTTTGTACGTTTAGACGTGGTGAAATGTTGTTCGATATGTGATTATCAGTAACCGTCGAGTTCCCTGTTAATTTCTGCTCAAGTAATTTAGCTTGATTGTAATTTGTTGGAAATCCATCTAGTATAAAACCAGTTGTTGGTTGAAGAGTTCTTTGTAGAAAAGGAAAGGGAAGAAAAATTCAGACAAATATATTCCAGTGGTGAAAAAAAAACATATATAAGGATATTTTACAAATCTAATAATAGAATAATCACAAGATAATAAATCGAATATGATAATTGTGATAAGATTTATTTTAGGCTTTTGCTTTGGTTAGGGTTGTAAAGTAATGATCGTCAATTGCTGGGATGTTTCCAAAGCACTTTTAACAAAGAACAAAACTAGCGCCTTTCGTTAACGAATTCTCACTGGTTGCCTGTTTTCGAGGAGGCTATCAGGTATGTCATGAATTTATTTTTGGTTTTTAAAATGTTTAGCAAAACGGTGAGTGATGGGTGTATGAGAATGAGAAAATTTCAGGTTGGTAATAATTGCCTAGCAAAACGAAATATTGATTTAGACCACATAAATCACTCGATGTTAAAAGAAGACAAAGGTAAACTGTACACTGTTTTTTATTCTTTTCCAGTTAAAGACACATTTATATACAAACTGTCAACTCGTAATTGAATGTGACTATTTGCTATTTAAAACATAGGCAAATAATTATATTGTTTTGTTGGTCATTCAGCAGTCGTTGAAATTAAGATCTGTGTCTTTGGCGTCATTGTGGCTCTGCTTATGATTACTGCAGGAGAGCGTTTGTCGGTAATGATCACAATGTAGGCTGACATAATAACTTATGTTAATTGACAGTAAAGAGTAATCTAATTCATGGTTCTTTGAAAGCTTCCTTCTTAGCTCCGACCTTTTCAAAGCATAAAACTTCTAAGAAAGATTTACTTGGTAAATGACCCATTCATTCAGTTATACACCAATCGAATACAGTGATCATAAATTTAATAAGTTATTAAACTTCACAACCGTCAGCTGAACGCAAAACTACGGAGAGAATTTATACATCTAGATATTATTGTCAATAGAACCCAAGTGAATGGAAAACCACCGTGAACTGATATTCTTTTGAGCAAAAAGTGCACTGAAGTAAAACGAGAATCAAGTGAATAGAAGTCATGCTTACACTCAGTACATAGTAGTACATAGTACCTAAAAGTAAAACCATCCAAATGCCGTCTGCTGCAGAACATCTTATTACCGCAGATGGCGTGGGTACAGATAATGAAAAGACGCGTGCCACTGTTACTTGGCCGCAACCAAAAACACCTGAAGACATTCGTAGTTTCTTGGGTCTCGCGTCCTATTACAGACGTTTGTCCGTGACTTTGCATCTTTGGCAGCACCTTCGCACAGATTGACACATAGGGGACGAAAATTCCTATAGACCAGCGAGTGTCAACAGGCATTTGATACGTTGAAGGCACGGTTAACCTCACCACCTATATTAGCCTTTCCAGACACCTCAGCAGACGGAGTTGAGTTCATACTCAATACGGATGCTCGTTCCTCAGCTATTGGAGCAGTTCTGTCACAAGTAGCTCGAGATAGCCAGCAGAGTCATCGCCCACGCCAGCCGACGACCAGACAAGAGCGAAGCAAGGTATTCCACAACACGTCGAGAAATGCTAGCATTAGTAAAGTTCTTACAACACTCCCGTCATTATCTATTTGGTAGACCTTTCAGTGTGCGCATGGATCACCGTGCATGACAGTGGCTTAATTTTTTCAGTGAACCAGAGGGACAAGTAGCACTCTGGCAGGAACGGTTGCAACAATTTGACTTCACATGCGAGTACCGTCCGGGGAATAGACACCAATGCAGATGCTCTCTCTCGCGTGCCTCTGTCCACAGATACCGTTGAGTACGGCAATAGAGACAGACTGGTCCTCGCTGCAAGCAGCAGATCCGGATTTACAGATTATCGAAGACAATTACATGGGAACAATAAGCCGTCCATGAGGGAGTTAAGAGACCAATCCCTTTCTACGCGTCGTATTTGTAACAAATGGAGCAACTTAAAATTATATGGTGACACGCTATTCCTAATTAATGAGTCCAGGCAACCCCTGCTGATAGTACCGCAAGTAAAGAGCCAGAGCATTGTGGAGCAAGTTCATAGCGAACTCAGTCACACAGGAGAACGAAGAACTGAATATGCTGTTCGTCGGCGCTTTTTGTGACCGAAGATGTAACTGAATTCTGCAAAAAGTGTAACACGTGTTGCCGCATAAAATCGCCCAAACACCACGTGCACCGTTAATGCCTATGGGAACGACTGGACCGCACCAGCGAGTTGGAATCGATATTATGGGACCATTGACGACGACAAAAAAAGGAAATCGCTACATATTAGTTATGGTAGATTATTTCACTAAATGGTGCGAAGCAGTACCAATTCCACAGCAAGACGCCCTAACTGTCTCATAGGGCTTTCATTGATCATTGAATTAACCGTTATGGTGCCCCACTCTCACTCCACTCCAACTAAGGCCCGGCCTTTGAAAGTCATCTTATTGCCGAAATATGCAAGTTATTAGCAATATGAAAGACGCATACTACCGCATATCACCCAGAGGGTAACGGCCTAGTCGAAAGGACAAATATAACCATTAAAGCTAGTTTACAATCGTTCATCAGCAGATCGTCATCCAAGTTGTGGGATGAGGTGCTTCCTCAATGCATGCTAGCTTATCGGACATCAGTACATGGGTCTACGGGATTCTTCCAGGGTCATGGAGTGATGGACGAGTTTTATAAGGCTTATGTTTTATTCCACACGTAGATAAGTTTCTGTAGAAAACATGTTTACTAGAATTAACTTCATAGATTGTTTAATTTTGTGACTGAATTCTCTGGTCAAAAATAACTTTAGATACAATTTAACACAATTTATAACCATTGAAAGTCGTAACATTCTCAAACGTTTTGCATATCTGCCCAATCCAAAGTATTTATGTAGGAGAGATCTACACTTATAACAACATATAAACTTATTCAGAAAGTTTTGCAACTGTTTAAAAGGTTTTCTGTTATTATTGGCAGTTAGTCCTATTTTTAAATTTATTAACGGTGTAGTGAAGGAGAACACAGATGAGGGCAACCAAATTTTATTTAACGAAAATTACAGAGTTACTCAGTCAAATAGGAAAACCATATCGTAACCGTTAATTTGCAAATCTTCAATCCATCATCAATCCATTGTCTGACAGTTCACTATTCATGCGTTTCATACAAATTCCATTGTGTTCCCACTCTTCCTTTCTTGATCTTCCCCCATCTTCTACTGCCAGACATTACGTTTACACTGGCGTCATATACTACTTATAAGTAGCGCGCACCACAACGGTACACAACTATAAATTTGTAATGGATCATGTATGTGATCCCTTGTGTCCACAGTCCACGATTCACAACCAATAAACCTGGTTTCATACCACAGTTTACAAAATCACTAAATACATTCCGAAAAACGGACGCTGATTCATAAACTGGATATTGTTTACGATTCACTTCCACAAAGCCTAGACATTTTGCAGTTATGATTATTATTTCAACCTAAACGTTATCAAAGCAACATTAAAGATAACGTGAGAGGATAAAGCGTTTGCACATACACGGATACAAATAGCATGATATTCTGACGCCAGTCCAAAAAACAATATATGTGATGATGTATCTACAGTTATAACCATTAACTGAGTGGAGGTGCGTATCCAGTTTCTAGGCAAAAGTGTTAACAACTAACAGAAAAATCAAGTATATCAAAGCGTCTCTACAATACAATGATAAAAAAATTCAAATGTAATTTGATCCATAATAGTGAAAATAGAATAAGTTGATGGAAAACTATGTCACAAGCTTCCTAACCTGATACAACTCATATTCACAAGTGACTAGCATCGAGAACAATCCTTTCAACTGTAGTGAGAAGCTGTTACCCATAGAGTTTACCCAGTTTGGAAAAAGGGTAAGTAGGGGGTTAGATGATTGCCAAACTATGTTATAAGTTGAATAAACTTGGAAGTCTAGCCCACTGAATTTTGAGTCAGTGGTTTAAATGGGGCATTAATACAGCAAGAACTAATCGTCGTCACTCCGACGCGCATGAGATCTCTGGTATGCACTGTTAAGGAGCCACAAATTAGGACTAGACAAATTGTCTCTATTTCCTTGTTTTAAATGGTTCTTCAGCCAATGAAACGACTTGGTGAGAGCTATTTAAATAAAGTATGCTTGACGCAGGAAACAAAATTTATTCAGAAGCATGAAATGACTGAACTGCTAGAACTTTTAGAATTTCTTAGTTCACATTGATTTACTGTCTAGAATTTAACAGTACTCAGTCGTTATTTAAAACTTCAATATTGTGGTGAATCGTAAAAGTTCGTAAAAAATCTCACTAATAACTATGGTATGCTTATTTATCTAGAATTTTTGCTTATTCCGTAAACATTTACTGCGTTCATTGTTTCAATGTCAACTCAGTATTCGTTATAACAAAAATTCAACTAGATGATGTAAAATTAGTCAAGAAAATGATCACAATTAATTGACTTACTTGACTTTTTCATATACTAAGTCAACTAAAAGTTCATCGGAGATTTCCTTTCCGACTTTCAATTCGTTCCACAAAATTTCCCCGAGTTTTGCTTTAGCTGATAGCTGAAATATTAGATATTCTTTTAGATTGTTTTTAAATTAGTAGAAAATTACTCAAAAAATATCAAGCTCGTAGTATCATCAAATAGAGATTTAAGGGCAATTTTAAGTTAGGAAAGAAAGGGTTAAATTTGTGTACTGCTTAGGACTATCTTAGAATTTTTTGTTGCTGTTAGATACTAATTTATAAAATTAGCAATCTTTAGTTATTTCGTTCTATATTTTTGAATCATATTATAAAAATTTAACAATGATCAATAAGTGTTAAAATGTACTCAAATTGGCGATGATTTAAACTAATTTCTTCGAACCATATTAAATTCGCACTAAGATAATAACGGTAAGAGTATATGTAGCGAGAGAAATAATGAAGAATAGCTAAACGAGAGTCGAATAAATCTTGCTTGACAATAAAATTCTTATTTGTAACTGTAATTTACTTTAAACAAAGTTATTGCACAAGATTATAGATAAATTAACCTACTGTGATTGTCGAAGAAGTTTCTGTTTCATCTGATTTAGTTTGCTCATTGGCTGCATTAGAACCTTCTTCAGCTTCTTTATTTTTATAAGCTTGTAAAGCTTCTTCTATAAGTTTGAATGGATTGATTCCAACACATCGATTATCTATAAGTGATAAGTATATCAGTTCAAGATTTAATTACAGGGTGAGGGCGAACGAAAATGTCCATACATATCTTCATCTTAAAATAACTGCGGCTGTATTAAATATAAAACATGGAAAAGTAATTCAGACCATTTTAAATCTGCTCTGGGAGTGAGGTCTTCATTCAGAAGAATTACTTATGACTTCTCATGATGAAAGCCGAGTTCCTTCGGAAGTCACGTGTCCTGTGCCCCTTCTGACAACCAGAGACCTTCCACGGTGTAGGAACCAAGGGAGTGACAACCGCCCTCATACCCTTAAAACACATGAGACCAAATTGGTCACAATCAAATCTTTTATACACCTTCTAATAACTCTTATATCCATGAACAACCCTTCTTTCGTTCCTTTGTCACCTGGGGCCGCTGATACAAACGTTTCGAGCTCACGAAACGTTATTCCTGGTCTCCTGAAACCCCACTCTGAACTACATATTACAGCTTTTAATGTTCGAACTCTGTATCAAGTAAGGCAATAAACTTCATTAGATAAGACTCTGAAATCCCTTGTCATCGATAAATCTTGCGTCTCCAAAACGCGCAAAAAGGATCTGAGTAAAAGCATTAATTTGATCTCACCTTGTCCAAATCAGGAACCAACTAGGTTTACGCACCGCTCTGATATAGTAATATTGGCGGGTGAATTTGATGCTCAAGTAGGTAGACTAAGTTAAGAGGAAAGACACATGGGTGGATCTTATGGTTTTGCGGCTCAGAGAACAGACAATGGCGACCGTCTGTTGCAACTGTGCTCAGATAACGGCCTATTTCTAGCAAGCATTAACTTTAGGCATAATTAAAAGTATCTTTCGACCTGGTAACCTAAGTCGTCTCAACGCTGGACCCGACAAGATCACATTGCCATCAGCCACCGATGGAGGGGTTCGATAGAAGACTGTCGCTCGTTCTGGGGCACATGTCTAGATTCAGATCATGCCCTAGTGCGAGCGCGTATTTGTTTGCAACGAAGGAAAGACACCGCTAAGAATATATTTCAGGAGAAATTAGAAAAACAGTTTGGCGACCATGTAGTAAGTGATTCCCATCCGGAGGCAGGTTGGAATGACATCAAGAAGGCTGTGGAAACAGCAGTGATATCTGCTAGTAAGGTAAACCAAATGGCTAGGAGAAAGCCATGGATCTCAATAGCATCTACCGAACTGTTGGATGCTCGAGAACTCATCCCGTGTGGCTCTCAGTGCAATGAGGATCGGAGTCAGATTAGGTGTACTTCGATAAAGTATACGCAATGATCGCGAACACTGTTGGGTAGTGAAAGCGAGAGAGATAGAAAAGGCAGCCGCGATATGTAACAGTAGACATCTTTTCCGCTTTATCAAGGAAATCGGTATTAGGAATCCGAGACTAAGTGATCTCGATCTCCAGTCAATCTGAATGGCAAATCCACGTAAGTCGTCAGACTCTTTATGAAGTTGAGAAAGCTATAGAAAATCGGAGGCGACGGAGAGCTGCGGGTCCTAATAGACTGACTCCTGAGATTTTTAAGGATGGTGGTCCAGCTTCAGCAGCTAGACTGACTGAGGTCTTATAAAGAATCTGGGAATTGGGAGTAATCCCAAGTGATTGATCTCAACCGGTGATTGTTTTAATTTATAAGAAAGGATAAAAGTCCTCTTGTAACAGTCACAGGGGAATCAGTCTAACTAATATAGTGTCTGTGTCTAAATTGTTGGTCTCGATAACTAGAGCTCGTAAAGAGCAGATCAGATAAACCAGGCTGTTTTCAGACCTGAACGTGGCTGTATAGACCACACTTTCATACTATAACAGGTCCTAGAACATCGACACACATTTGGGCATCCCAAAATAGTAGTATATCTCGACCTCAAAGAGGCAGTTGTCTCAGTCAGTCGTGAGGTTCTTTGGCAGTCGATCATTTTAGGTGAACCAGAGAAGTATATAACGTTTTACAGGCTCTCTACTCGAACACTACTGGTCGAGTCAGTGTTTATAGCGAACTGTCACTGAAATTAATTACTTCTAGTAATGTCCGTCAGGGCTGTCCACCCACTTCATTCTTGTTTAATTTTGTCGTAGATATGCTTTTTAGAGTTCTCATTATCATCGTCTGACTTTTCAAGAGTGAACTTTCTACCAGGAGACACGCTTGCTGACTCAGAATATGCTGATGACATAGTCCTATTCGGTGAAGACGTTAACAAAATGCAGGGTCTTCTGAATACCCTAAGCAACAATGCAAACATGTTCGGATGCGGTTTTCCCCCTCGAAACTCAAAATATCGCTTCATGATTAGGTTGCATCGACTCCTGAAGTAGCGATAAGGAGTGGGACAGTTGAGCTTGCTGACCGCTTCACTTATCTGGGGAGTCTCATCAGTGTTGATGGCCTGGTGTGACGAGCGCGGATATAGAAAGCTCTATTGGCTTTTGCTAACTTGCGTCATTTACGGTGGAGTGGACTATCTATCTGATAGCCAGAGGGCTAGTGTACTGTTTAGTGATTCGCTCCGTCTTATTTTATGGCTGTGAAGCATGGCCACTGAGAGTAGATGTTCGTAGGTTACTGGTTTTCGATCACAGGTGTCTCTGAAGCATTGCTTATGTATCATGGGACAATCGAGTAAGCAGTGCTGTTTTTAGGAAACGGGTCCTGGGTAAGAGTGGCAGGCCAATAGATGAAGTATTGAAAATTCATCAGTTGAGGTGGTTGGGACATGTTACGAATGCCCAGCCACCGACTGCCTCGACGAGCAATGTTTTGTGGTGTAGAGGTAGGTTAGAAGAATGCTGTGGGCGACCAAACCAAAACATGGCACAAATCCATTAAGTCACTGGCAAGTGGACTGAGCCATGTCGGCAGGTGTCGACTACCTGGTTGGGGCCCGCGACATGATAGTAATCGATGGTTAAAGACCTTGGATCACGTGGCTCGAAACCGTTTGCAATGGCACAGGTGCATCCATTCTTTGCGTTCTCTCATATTCTGTTAGATTCAGTCAATATAGTAAGAAAAATATAAAGACCTGTTTCAAAGTGGTCACTTTTATGGTTCACATTTAAACGTAGTTTGATAGTCGAGACCCATATTTAGTGCTATTCAGACAATCCAGACAGAACCATAGAAAATATTGAAGCGAACATGCACGGGATTCTAATGCTGACACAGACTAGTCAAATGTTTTAGTGTCCTGGATACATGTCTCAATGATCAGAACACCGACAACAAAAAGGACTAAACTCATGTCAAACTGATGAATTCCGAAATAGAATGAAATTCGTTTTCCAGTTCTTGATACCTTCCAGTTTCAGCTGTAACCTAAAAAAGGAATAGAGATTTTCCTTAGACTAGTAGAAATTGACTAGTCTAGCTCTGAGAATTATTTCTTCTGGTTGTTTACGCAAAATACTTCGGATTCGTTGGCAAGACACCATCGGCAACAACGTACTATGGGAGAGGACAAATCAGATTCCAGTGGAGGAGGGAATCAGGAAGAAGCAGTGGAAGTGGATAGGATATACACAACGAAAAGCACCAAACTGTGTCACAAGACAAGCCCTCACTTGGAACCCTCAAGGTCAAAGGAAAAGAGGAAGGCCAAGGAACACATCATGCCGAGAAATAGAGAAAGATATGAGAGGGATGCACAAAAATTGGACAGAACTGGAAAGGGAAGCCCAGGACAGAGTTGGTTGGCGAAAACTGGTGGGCGGCCTATGCTCTATTGGGGGTAACAGGCGTAAGTAAGTAAGCTTTGAGAATATTAATAATTTTCACACTTTCACTCCTTCAATTCGATCAAGTAGACCATAACACTCTACATCTTTTGAATTGACCACAAAGGAACTCTATGAAAATTTTAAAAACCACTCCTAATTTTGCTACCATCTCCCTGGTTCATTATCAGTGCATTTAACTGAATGATAGCCAATTTGATTATTTTATAAAGCCAAACAGATGTTTAATGATAAAGATACTATTGCGTTGTGGGTAAATTTTCGATACTGTACTACAAATTAATGAGTACTTGAATCCGATATTTTAGTGAATATTATCAACTAGAATTTATTTTCACGAGAGAAACTAACCCACTGATTGCTATGTCGGATAAGAAATATTTGATCAGATTATTTCAAGGCGAGTTGTTTGATTATAAATTCGAATACTGATTCATGATAATCTTAATTGAGAGGGAGAAAAAAAGATAATTACTTTTTTCTAATTCATTTATTATGGTGGTTTTGCCACTTAAAGGTTTGCCAAGAAGTGCAATTTTGATTGGAAATTCTGGTAGATCGGATTTACTTGTTTCAATCTGTAGTGAAGAGAAAAAAAATAGAGAATCATACAAAATGATTTTTATTGAAACGAATACATTTTTAAAGAAATTCTTTAGTGACTTTTATAACAGAGATCTGAAAATACTACATTGAAAGTGAAACTATTTAAAACAGATTTTCTATAATATTTTTAACAACCAATATTTGTCACCCATATTCAAAGCATTCAAGTTTTCTATCAATCAGTTCACCTGCGCTACAAGTATCTTTGCATCCATTGTACTTAAAAGGTGCTTGAATTCCAATATATTTGTTTCTCATTTCATCAAAGGATAGTTTAAAAGGAAAATGTAAACAGAATAGCCAAATTTCTGTCCGAGATTCCCAGCATTTATAAGAAAGACTCTAAACAAAAAGTTATTCAAAACACAGCTTATGATCCTGTTCTTTGTTACTGAGTTGCAAATAATGTTAGATTGTACATGAATATAAAACTTAATAATTGGATACTGAAAAGTGTTTGTTTATCTTGGTATATTTCTTATCTGAACTGCTGAGAATTAGACAGTCAAACGATTTCTAAAGAACATAAAACCTATTGAGACAGGTTTATTGCAATTTTAATTATTACCTGTTATGTATTGATGATAGATGGAATGTTTGGCAAGCTCATTCCTTCGATATTATAATTATTATATTATTTGACTTCGTGACAATCACTGCCTACTTTATTCGAAAATTAAGCAACAAGGGTCAAGTAGTTTAGTAAATACTGGTAGAATGATGATGTAACTAGGCTAGTAATCATCATTAACTTCTTAAAGAGAAGTTGAAAATGTTATTGAATATCCTACATGGGATTTTTCCTGTTAGTTTTTTGACGAATTACACTTTTAGAAGTAGGTGTGTAGTGAACCAGAACACAGGTGGGGCAACCGAATTGTATTTAAGGAAAATTACAGAGTTACTCAGTAAAATCGGAAAACCATATCGTAAATTGTTCATTTGCAAAATATCAGTTCATCCTATCGAACTCGACTGTTCCTGTTGCAAAACATCAATCCAATGTCACTGTTCATGCGTTCCATACAAATTCCATTGTTTTCTAACTCTTCCTTTCTTCATCTTCCCCCATATTATGCTGCCAGACATTACGTTGACACTCACGTCATATACTACTTATAAGTAGCTCACACTACAGGTGTATGATATCGGAAATAGTGATCAACATTAATGTTCTTCTTTATCTTCTCGTGTGAATGGTCAAGTAATGAGCACCAATATGCGATGGCTTACTTTATGCTTAATTAGTTTACGAAATGTTTTGTATCCCAACTGTTGTTTAACTCTCGCTGGTTCTTAGTGCCTATGCAACTGGATCGAGACTCTTGAGGGAAACCAACATTCGATACAGCAAATATTTTCACAAATCACTTTATTAAATGAATAATTTTATCAATGTACACTCATCTACTTACGGTTGGTGGAAAATTAATTTGATACAGACGTTTAAGTATCCATTCTAAGACTGGATTGGTTTTTATCAAACTGATATCATTTGGTAATTTGAATTCGTTTGTTTTCGATTCATTTTTGAAATCGATCCATTCAACTTGTTTACCTTGTATGTGTGGAATCAATTCATCGGGCAGTGACTTCATAGAAAGTGTACCGATTTTGGCTAGATCCCAATCACCAGTAAGATTCTACAATATAATATGTGCACTTATATGAGTGTATTTTGAGGAAAAAAAAGACAAGAATTTTTTAAGCTGTAAACTTAAAACTACGAGCATCTGTCTACTTAGCATTTCAGTTAAATAAAGTTTATAGATATGTCATTATATTAGGTAGAACTTGGGTATATATTGATTGCCTCTGTAAATGGTTTTCCACCGGCAAGTTGTACATCAATATGTATTTTTACTTGATTTGATAAAATAACAGTTGTTTTTACTTTGAATATACTTTACTTAATTAAAGAAACTATCAGAAAAATATACCTTATCATAAAACTAACACCATCGGTAATAGCAATGACCATGCTGTATTACAGCCTCCTAACAAGTACCGTTAATGATTTCAGGATCTTGAGCTTAATCATTTTTAAGTAAGTTTGGAATTCATCATGAAATATTTATCCAAAGGAATGGATTTATTCTATCCAAAACACGCAATGGACAATTAACAATTTCTGTGTATAATTAGATTTTATCAACAACACAAATCTAAAACTTTTCGCCAATGTGAAAGCAGTGCTCGTAAGAAACTGATACTTCTTATCCAATTTATAGCTAAATGTTAAGTTGCTGAATTGACTGGCAGATGTTTGCAAGTCACAATTAATTTTGATGGATGGCTTTGGATGGAATTTTCACTAAGTTAAGAAATGTCTCAGACAATAAATCTAACCAATGCAATTGAGGAAATTGAAATAGTAAACGTAGCCATTTTGTTTAGGATTTAACACTCAGTTTCTATAACTAATCTGATAACTACTTAGTTTGCATAAAGTTATTTCAGGAATTTCCAGTACTTGTTTCCTTCACGAGTTTAAACAGAGAGAAGACATCAAGGTTCTTAGCAACTTGTAAATACGAAAAGTTTGGAGCCGTTTTCATACTTATTAAGATGTGACTCTTGACCACGGAGTGTGTGGTTATATTACTAAATATTGTGGTTATTACGGTTTGTAAAATTTTAGCAGGGGTTTTGGGACTGTTGCTCAATGAGTTTAAGTTACCTTAAGTATTATTTTTCTCCTTTTACGAAACTGATTTGAAAAGTGTATGATAAATTTTCAGCTAAGCAATCAGCGCAAATTTTAATATTACGGTAAACTTTTTTAAAAGCAACAACGGTTTGCCTAAAATAACAGTGCAGTTTTGTGTAGCGCTTTTACGAGGACACAGAGATTTTAAAAATTATCTTTCCAATTTTGATAAAAATTTGAAAATTGTGCAGTTGGCTGGTTTGTTAAGACTAGTTTTCTTTGAAGGCGGTTTTTTTCCACAAACCGATATCAACTAGAGAAGCGATGAAAACTAGGAAACGCTGAATATTCTCTCTCATTCTTCCTAAGGACTAATCAGTTGTGTACAAAAAATTCAAATGGATTCCCACATTTATGGCCAGACGAGTTCAGCGTTTTCGGACCATACCACAAACTGACTGAAGTTGGAAATTCGGATTACCATATTTTAACAAACTAGTCAGGAAGTATTTTACCTACCATAAGTTATGCGGTCGCGAGTTCGAGCCCGTATTGCACTATGGGTGAGCACTAGTGAAGAATCTTGTGCCATAACAAAATGGACATTTGTTGCCATCTGGCTTTCAACAACTTGTTAGCTGATTTCAATTCATCACGAAAAGTTCATTGAGAAATTCATCAAAAGCATTTACAAGGTTAGGAGAAAAAATACATTTAGACAAAAAGTGTGGAATGATCATTAAAAATTTACTGATTTACTTGATATTCATCCAAATCACATTCATCTAGTAATTCTTGTTGATCTTCAATGATTTGATGCTTATTTAAGTTAAGCTGGTCAGCCACATTCGACATTTCTTCTTCAACAGGATCTTCGACTTGATTTTCCGTTGATGTGTCGTTGACTAATATACCCTTTAAAAATTCAATTTTCCATTGACGGAAAAGTCTAAATGGAATTAACCTAAAAAATAAACATTTTAATATATATATATAATTCATTCGGTCACTTACAATCCATCAAGAAGCCTGACTAAAACAGGGTTCAGCTCAAGTTATTATACCATATTAGCACGACCGGCTGAAGTTGGTAAGAGGAAGATCAGCGGAATTTAAACAGTGTACTGCCAACGATAATGAGAAGGACTAAATACTGGGAAATTTTTTTCGAAAAGATGGAATAAACAGGCTTGGATTGAATAATGGAATTGAAGATGCAGAGTAACATAAAGTAGGAATGCATATGGACCATTGTGACTGATTCTACATTGTGTCATCCATTCTTTTCAACCTCTCATTGGTGTCGTCACTCAACTTATAACCAGGTATTCTGGATGGAGCTACATGACTTAATAATCATTGATTTTATGGCCTAATGCTACATTTCGGCTTGAGTGCCACTAGCTTTATTCCAACTTACTTCAGCGTCAGAAAACGTCACCTATCGAGGTAGGCGGTGACTGGGCGTATGAAACACATCACACCCATGTCAGTCGACGAAGATTCACTTAATACTTTAGGCCTAACGTCAGCATTGCTCTTCCAACCGTTCTATGATCTGCGAGCGGTACTTTGGAGGTAGCAGTTTTCAAATAGTAATAACCCACCAATATTCTGTGTTTCTAAAGGCTGCGTTTCACAATCATAGATGGAAAAATAGAGGATTACTAAACGGCATAATTATCCTATGATTGGCAAAAAAACACCTCAAAAATGATGCAAGTTGGCTATCGCTGAGAACGTTTACTGCATACAAAGAAAAAAGTGTAAACAGAACATAATTCTGTTTGCATTATAGTCATTTTTGAAGGTATTTTCCCTAAAGTCAAAAATCACTGGTTTCCGGTATCTCAAGAACTTTAGTCGAGAGGATTATTATTATAGTTCATCTGTAAATTTTGGCATGAAATACAAGTTTGAGATTTTAACTTACTTGCTTAAAACAACTTGTTTTCATGCATTCAGTATATAAAGAAGATTACAAAGGTTTTTTTTAAAGACTTATTGACTGTATAGTATTTAGTGGTCATGCATCGTCTACTCCGTTTGAACTTACTTCTTTGTGAATATCCGATAATCCGCAACATTCATAACAAACTGTAGTAATAATGGTATGATTTCGTTTTGAATAAATTCATAATGACGCCTATAGGAAGCTTGTCTACGTTTAGACGCTTGCTCAGCCCAAAATTGTTTTAATACTGTAAGTTTCTCTTTTTCTTCCTCTTTTTGTTGAAGCAACATTTCCTGTGATAAAAAAAAAATTAAAATCAACAAACACGAAATTAGTCTATTTAAACAAAAATATCGATGATGGGTTTTTGGCGACATGTCTATCCACTTTTCAATATCATGTCTTATTAATGGGACAGTTCTACATAGATATATTCTATTAAGTTTTAGTCTGAATAATAAACACTGTTTCGTTTATTTAGTGAAAATGCTTTCCGCATCTTTCCATGTACAAATTATTGACTGAATAATTTACTGTCCAACTGAAGGAGGACTGTAGGATTTTTATGACAACGCCTACAATATAACTGAGGTGATTGAGACAAGCATTTTTGTTTTACCTCTAGATACCACCTACTCATCTCTTAGCACGCATCAATGGATTAAGTAAGCATTAAAATGGCGATTCTCGTATCCATAATTTCACATTATCTTAACGAGGTAACCAGTATTGGTGTTGATTTCAGTAGAATTTAACTAAAATACTTCTAGGAAACTCATCAAAAAGATCTGTATTTTTGTCTTGATTTAGAGTTATCATTTACTACCGAAATTCATATGGTCTCCGGTAGCCAGTTTAGTCATAAAAGAAACTGTAATGTCTCCTCCAAACAAGACCTCGCTGTAGAACAATTATTCAGAGTAGTATTATTGGTTTTATTTTTTGCTTAGTGTTAGGGATAAACATTTTATTTCATGAACAACAATCCGTTTTCATTTTTCCTTCTTTATCTGTTCGGTATTACTGATGTTTTTTTTCGTCATGCTTCATGACTGTTCACTATTTTTGTTGATTCTTCTCTTTTAATTGATCTTTCAGTTTGCGAATACTAAGAACCAATTTAGTATTAAGAGAATTTTTAAACGGTTGTCTCTATTCATGTAATAATACATTGACTAATGAAAACTGAATTCATTTTTTCGATATCAAATAATTTGAAGGAATTTGTGAGGAAGCCTGGTATAGGATTCGTGCTGTTTGATATGACACATCAAAGTGATTATCTAACTTTGATGAAGATAATGCCATTGTAATATGCATACCCACGATATCTGGTATCCTAGTTAGAGACAATAGTACTAAGGTAACTATTAACAACCTGTAAGACACTAATAGACAATCTGAGTAGTAACCTAATATTGTATAGACTGGTCTTAAGTGGCGATAAGGTTTACCAACTAATTAGCGCATCATAAGTGTAAGACTTCCTCCTACTGGCTAAGATCGTAAGTACCTAGTGTTGATTAGCCTCAAATTGAAACAAAATACTTGTTCATTACTCTTTCGTTTGAAAGGTTCGCTAGTTCTACTTGGTTTGTAATGTTTATTATTCATAAAGTATAGAAAACCTTCACAAAATTACTTATCATATAATAAGTGTCAATTATTGAAACGAAATGGAAAGAAAACATTTTAGTGAATACTTAGTTTACTCCTACACAATATGATCTTGTAATTAAACTCACTCTTTCACGGTCCATTGCTAACTGGAACTCTAATTCTCTTCTGGCTTCATATTGCTTTTCGCGTTCAAGGCGATTTTCGAAAATTATTGATTTCTCTTGCTTAATTTGTTCTAATTGCACAGAAATACGACTTTCCAAGTGAGATTGACGTGACAACCGTTGCATCAATTGCTCTGATCTAATTTCTTCCTAGGATTAATTAATCGCAAATAGGCATGGTTTTGAAAGAAGTTTAGGCACGATGACTGGTATTATACTTTTCAGCATGGAGATATTGAGAATATATTTATTCATCAAGTCATTAGTTATTCTGGCTTAATTAGTAATTTTGTGAAAAACTAATATAATTGAAAACAATTTCAATTGTTATCCGATTTACCAGAAATCATTCAAGTCAACTTCAAATCTATGTAAGATAGACAACTTTTCATTATTTTCTTGTATCAGTAGATTCACAATTCATTTTTGGGCCGTAATGAGGATAAACGATGAATGATAACAACCTCCAAAAAGTAACTTTTAGAATACTTCAGTAATTTTTGCTCATTAAAATGAATCCTGACAAAGTCATCCTCTCAGAAGACGTATCTTAATAAGATGCAGTATCTGTTGTATTCGTAAAATAGTATTGTTGTTGAAAAAGAAAAGTTCATACATCCAAAGTATCAACATTCCCACCAAAAAATATTGAGGACTTTTAATGTCAACATCGTGAACAATTTTCTCTTTCAACATGAATGTTCTTCCCAACCAATTTTGACCTCTATACAATCAATCACACTCTTAAGAGATCGTTTAGCCTAAACTACCATCTATCAACCTAGATCAGAAATCCAATTTTCAAACGTTTAGGTTGCCAAACAAAACCTTGTGTTCTCGGTTTAGCAATTGTAGTTTACATTAGGTACTAAAAAATGTATTTTATCTAAAGACCAAGACCTTCGCTTCTAATGTTCATTTCTGTCATAATTATTTTAAAAGAGACCTACTTACTTGTCGAATATGATTAGCTTCCAATATATCCATAATAACTCGCCTTCTTCGTTTTTGACGCTCAGATATTGCTTTCTTTTCTTCGTGAACCTTTTTATGAATTTGTTTCATATAGCTCATTGCTGTTTTATTCGATTCATCTGTTGAGGTGTTCAATGTTAGATTCAGATTGAACTGTTCGCCAGCCTTATCTCTTGTTCTTGAAACATTGCTATTGTACAGTTCGCAGTTTTCTTTACGTGAGTCGAATTCATCCAATTCTTTTAAATTATTCTGTGAACACAGTAAGATAATGTTGGAAAACCCGGAAATATATAATAATTATCATAGATTAAATAATGATGCATTTTTTTGGACTAATAAATATTACTTAAAATGACTTATGAATAAATCTGTCTCAGATGTTCAGTATAAATGTGGTATGGCAAATAGAACTAACATACGTACGTACGAAGTTCTACTTTGTAGCTGACAGACTGAGTGTTCAGTAATTTCATTTGAGCGAAGTATGGTACCTAAAAGATTAATTTCTACTGTTTATTCACCAGACACCTAAATTAACTAAGATCTTATTTCTATCTGAAGTTCGTGCTGATGATGTTGTTCAGAATAACAATGAAAGCTCCACAACCAAAACATGCAGCTCAGGGAACGAAACACCACCACAAGATCTTGCTTATACTAGTTGGAACTTTTAGGTATAACAGTCGGAATAGCGTTTTACTCTTAGTAGGATCATAATTATTTGGTCAAAATCAAACAGTGCTGTAATTTACCAAGTAACTGACCAGCAATCTCCATAATATAATAAAGTGTAAAATTTTTGTTCCGTAAATATTGGAGAGCAGATTAAGAATAATTGATTGCATTAGAGTGACTAATCACACTCTGTTCGATTCATTAATCCTCCTATAGAAGAAACTTGGACTGGCGCACCTTATGTCAGGTTTTACGGTGTTGTATGACTGAATGGCTGTTTACAATTTTGTTGCAATCGGGAAAAGTGTTAGATGATTACGACATTTTAATATGACTACTCCTGACCAACTACTACTATACAACATGAGCTAAGGCTCCATTGATTTTAAATGAAAATGACATTTAAATTTTTGGTTAACACATAAAAAACATTTATTGATGCAACATGCAAAATAATGAAAATAACCACAAAGGCATTACTGTATGTATTTGCATAGATTGTTGCGTATCCATGCTTTTAGTTGTTAGTTTCTTCCGGTCAGACTTTGGCAAATTGATGATAGATGCTCTATAGATGAGTTGATAAAATTAGTAATATTATGTAAGTACTGAAGATAAACCTTAAAAGTTGAGCATAAAAAGTTTGTAAACGAGAAATAAGTAAGTTTTTTCTGGAAATTATTGAACATTGAAGTTTTGTTACTCAAAATTAACAAATGAATTACGGTGTTGCAGTAGTCATTTATTAAACAATGATTTGATGTCTTTTAAGAAATGCCAGCCGACACATTAAAGTTTATTTAAAGTATATGCCCTCCAATCTCCAGGTAGAAGGTACGATGTCACTTAATCTACTTCGGTTTCAATAGTTGAATAGTATTAATAATCTCTGCTCACAGAGTATGATGGTTTAAAAGTATGATATACCAACTTTTTGTGACTGTAACGAGCCACATTGGTGACTTATAACGTTAAAAGCACATTTTTTTAACCATCACGTAACTATTGTATGATCTTTATCTATAACAGGTTAAGAAAAAATATACTATAAATTCGAATTTCATGCACAGGTTATCATTGATACAGTTTTGGAAGAAGGGTGACCTTTTTGATAGATTGACAGATATATATATATATATATATATATATATATATATATCATCATTTTAATATATGAGATATCCTGAGGTTCATAATTGCGGAGATAGAGCAAAACAACTTTCAGTTACCTGGCATTTCTAACCTAAAGCCTTAAGCAATGATTCTTTAACCACAATGCAGGGTTTGCAACGAGAGGTGTGTAATATACGGAAGAAAATAACTGCGTGTACAATTTAAGGACTTTTACTAATGTTTCTGCAACTATTAGTACACAGACAATGAAGGTAGCTATTATGGCTTAAAGTTGATAACATTAAATTTTCGCAAACTTTTTCAAAATGATTCTCAGTATATTTCCAAATGACATCTGGAAGAGTATAGCACATCTTATAGCACTTTTCTATCAGAAACTAAACAAAGTTACCTACTCACCTTCATCAGTGCATAATATTTATCATTTCAATTTATCAGTATTGGATTTAAATGGCCAATGCCACACGCTTACAGTATTTCCTTGCATCGCTTAAGCTAATACCTTAGTAGTTCAGTCGAGAGATACGTCGAGCTTTGGTCTACTGAAGTAGTTAATTTGAAACTGTATTACTGTGATAGGAAGTCAGTAAAACAATAATAATTTTAGGCAATCTAGTGAATACCATTGAATCAGAGAAACTAAACTTTTTAAATACTGAATCCCTAGTTAGTGATGAAAGATGTTATATCCATAGTCATTTTCGAATGACCTGAAATCGGTCCTATGCACGGTAACAAGAATGAATCAGGGAGAAAGTGTAAACTAGAAAATGTCTTTTCATTGTTTGCTCGATTTTCGGTGCTCGTCAAATGACTTGGTTCCCGATGAAGATCATCTTCTAATGGTGTAGGCAATGTAACCAAAACCATTGTATTTACAATTAGACCGTAAATTTATAAAAATGTGAAATAAACTGACATGTTATTATCGTTAGCAGTATCATGTTTGAAAACAATACGTGGGTAATAATTGCTTACTCTAACTTGGCCATTAACTCAGATTGCATAATACGTAAATCACGACTTCTTTGAAGCCTCAAATTTCGATGTTTCTGAATGAGAGCGTCCTTTTCAAGCGCATCCATTAAGCTGGCTTTTTTAATTTGTTCCTCATTTAATTTTCTTTGTCGTTCATAACGTGAGAGAATTTGCGCCAAACTAGTATCCGATTCCCTCGCAATCAGTTGCTTTAATTGCTGTTTAGGCATATAACGATCAAATTCAAAAATGAATAAAATACTTGAAATAAAAAGCTAGTTAGAAAGGCAAAAACTAATACCTCTGAACGATTTTCAATGTTTGATGTGAGCAATATTGTTTGATTCTGTTAAGCATACAAAATTGTCTGTGAATACGATCCTTCTTACTAATAATATCGACAAAGGTGGTGAAAAAATAATTACAGAGATAGTTTTTGTTAACGTTTCTACCTTTGAAATATCACTTAATTTGTATACTTTCCTCGCTGCTTATAAAATATTTTTATATTTTAACATTGCATTCATGGTGGTTATGTACTTTATTGAATGGACTACTCCTCGAATATATCCTGTTTTTTAGCAAACAATCTGTCAGTATGAAGTAAACATTTTGTTTTTGTTCAGTGATCTAATAGCCGCACTCTTATGTACATATACTGGACCAAAACACTGAAATTATGGTATTCAGGGTTATACATATGTGGAGATTAGGCTATTTTTGACATATCCCTTCTGAAATTTGTAAATATTCTAATTTCTTCCATATGCACTCATCTGCTTTAAAGTTTGCCACACCAATTTTCGTTGCATATTGTTCATATTGTCGCCTCAGCCAAAGCTATTACGTTTGTTAGAATTCTAAATAGGTTAAGCTCTAAGGGTTTTATAAACATTTATGCTTTTATTCAATAATAAAATTTTTACCTGTTATATGCAGAATAAAATCAAAAAGTTAGAACATTGCAAACTACGTTTTGTTTTTTTTGTTGTATCCACGAAAATATTTGCTTCACTATGACAGTCAGCCAACCAGCGCTTAAATTCCTTTCTTTTAAAGGCCACTTTTGCCTCAGTTAGAATACAGTTTTAAGACTTAAAACTAATTTTTCAGGGAACATGAACGTGTCTGCAACTTGTAAATTTCAAAGTCACAAGTGATTGGTAAGCTTTAAATCCAATTTACATTTATTGAGATTAAAAAACAGAAAACTCTTAGCAGTAAAATTGATCTTAATGTCGAGAATTGGTTTACAGGAGCTGTTTGAGATATTTACTACAAATCGCAAATAAACTGGTTGTTTTTGCTGAGAAATTAGGAGCATGGCACAACTGTCACTAAGATTCACGGATGGTTATGATATATAGAAAACTGAAACAGAGTAATTACATTTTAAGGTTAAGGAGACTATTTGAGATCGTGAATCATTGAATGTTAGATCACCATTCGAAACCTGGAAGCACTTGATGGCCTGACACTGATCGATTCATGATTCCAATGAAACTCAATAATCTCCTCAATCCCATGATGACAAACATAATTTGCTTACTAATGACTAGCTTCGTGAGGAAATTCTTGGCGTTATGGTGAGAGGTTGTGACTAGAGTTCAACCGTGTCGGGTGTCAGGCAGTTTAATCGCCAAAGGCAAAAGATAAGGTGGCGCGATATCGTGTATTCATTGAAATTAAAATAAATAAATCTGCTTATTGATTTTGGTTGGCACCGATAATCTGAACATAATAACAACATGGTAATGCAACAATCTTCCGGAAATCGTATGGATTTAGAGTAATTGGCCAAAACTTATCGTGGCATGTCATTTAAAATGTAGCGACTCACATTCTTGTAAGATAAATTTTGGAGAGTATTCAGCTGTGTACGCGCAAAATTACACAGGTCAATGTTATCAGATCTATAAGAACCATCTACTCCACTTAAAATTACATAAATCTGATACAGAATCTGTTGTATACTGCCAGGTTTTTCCGTGATTATGTCATGACTTAGGTGCGCATCGATATTTATCCCCATTTCATTCAGTGCTGACCTAAGGTAAGTGAAGTTTTGAACAACAGAATCCGGTAAGCTTAAATAAAAATTGACAAGATCACTTGTACCTGGAATTTTTCAAAAGATAGAACTTCTGAAATTTGTCATATTTGTGCAGAAGTTTTCCCAAAAAATAACCATTTGAAAATAACTTCTCTATTGGCTGACCTATAACTAACAGGTATCATGATGAAAAATTCAACTAACCACCTAAGTCTAACTCATTTGATACCCAGGAATAAATAACACTTGTCATTGCCGACAACAAAAGATATACATAATATGCGCGTTACAGTTGCTACATAGACGATCAAATATCCAATGTCTTCTTCACGAACTAGTTGATTTTTCTGCACTCTATTCTTGTTCTTTCGGTATGGTTCCAGGTATTTGGTAGTGCTCTTGTTTCAGACCATAGGGTTTCCGGATACAAGCAGCTATCACCTAACCAGACTGGAGATAGCTTAGTTGCAAAGTAGAGATAACATGGAGAATGCTAATGAGAAAATTTCAGAACTAAGTAAATAAGTGGATAAATAAGCTCATTAGTTGGTATCAAATAGTGCCTCAAGGGACAGTAGTGTAAGCCAGGGAGAGGAAACAGAAATAATAAGCGAGATAGATTAAGCTGGTGATCTGAGGAGATGGCAATAATGACAACTAGCAGGTCTGAGGACATGCTGATCCGCGAGGGATATGATAACCCGTATATTTTCTTGAGGCTACCTACTGAGGGGCTATGTACACCCGTATTTTTCGGTCTCGGCAGGATGTCCAACTGTCCCATGCAATGAGATCGTTGGATAACGTACAACTTGTCTTTCCTAAACCCGTGTTGAGCTTCATGGGGCATCTTGTTCTTATTCGTACACTTCCTCATTTACTAGTTCACCAGCCCTTCGATTAACTTCGATAGTATTGGTAGTAATGAGACTGTTCAGTAACAGGCTGGGTCCTTCCTATTTCTTTATTTGAAGATTGGAGAGGGAGTAGCTTGTTTCCATTCAGCTGGGAGTTAGTATGACTCCAGTGAATGACTGAACAGGTCACCTATCGGTGAACTGAGGGCTTCTGTGCACTCTTTCAAGACTATGGGGCGGATATTTGCACATTTATGTGGCTGTCTTCGACTGACGTTGTTTAATTTTCTCAGTACTAAGTCAGGAATAGGCCGATTATTATTTAATCCACCAGTTAGCACTATGAGCAGTACTGTCAGTGTTTAGCTACTTGATTTTATTGATCAGTGAAGCTGGTGTTGAAGATCTCAGGCGTTTCTATGTTGATAATATCTTCGCCTCTGAATTTTCGAGAGCGCAAACACATTTGTTTGTAAGTTTTCTTTTTATTGTGAACCCAAACAGATGCTTAGTGTTTGCCTGTATTTCGGCATCTAGGTTCATCCGAAAGCGTTTCCTATCACTTCGAAATTACTACGCATGCGCGCATATTCCCATTTACCCACTTGTCCCTATACAGAAATGGGCTTTAATGTACTTGGCATAACATAAAAACACGCAGATACTGAGGAGACCTGTTAAATAACTGTCCATCCCTGATTAGACACCATCTGTTTTCAAATGATCAATTAAACCACACAATCTGTGCAATGTATGGATGTATACGCACTTCTTTAGTGTAACAATATTAGTTGCAAACTGTTATCACCATCATGATACCAAGGCTGAACGATAGTGTGAATCTGTAGCTATCTCGAACAGCTCAAAAATTTTTACAACTGCGAAACACATCAACTCGGCCAGTTGAAAACCAAGAACGTTTGAAGCGGTCTATGGTGGGAATATTCCATGTTTCCAAATATTGGCTTATACGGTACCTACATTCACTCTTTTAAATTGGTAATTTTTGCTTTCTGTTCCTCTTGCTCTCCAAGTACTATGCATTTTACCAGGGTATCGACCAGTTTTTACTCTGTGGCAGCAAAGATGACCAATCGAAGTCCCATTGTAGGAGTCAGTCTGAAGTCGAAGATCAGTATCTCTGACTAGAAGCTCCTTCGGACCTCAAACCAATGGTTAGAGACATGTCCAGAGAAAGTACTCAGAGCACTGGTTCCCATATAACAGTTCGAACAGTCAACACAATAATTTTATTTATCAACTAGCTTCTTATTATTCACTTTGCACTATCACAAGATAAAAAGCGTGTACACAGGATTAAGGGTCGTCCTGAAGAATATCAAGTGCATATACAGACATACATTTAAAGTGTACTGAGGAAGGAAAATACAACGGTGGCATTTCCGCGGTGTGTAGCTCACTAACTGTGATAAATAGTTGTATTTGATTGAAACGTCTGTGACGGATAGGTTCACTGCCATCAGGACACTGGCTCAACATAATGGTTTAACGATTAGACACTGATGCCTGTTTTTTGAGTATTCGTTAAATACGTCTCGCATAAGTCAAGCAACAAAAGTAGAAACTTCACACTCATAACCTGGACGACTATAATTCATTCCTTTCAGGACAACTTACACAAGATTCACTAGAAACATGACCTTGGAAGTTAGAGCTGGAAGATGCCCTCAAATCAAAGGAGCTGAAATGTCAACACATTTTGATGGGATCAAAATATTTAAGAAAGAGCTTACAGCACATAGAGAAACACTGAAAATAGAAGCGATGCACATATGGGTAAGTCAGAGCAGCCCAAATAAAAGAAAGATATTTAACTAGCCACCTCATGGCAAGTGACCGTTCACAAGTAATTGAAGCACATCTATACCCACCTTTCTTAGTCCACATATAACATTGGCTGAACGGTAATTATTTTAAATATTTTATACGTCACAACAATTTAACTGATAATTGTCAACCTACTTAAACGTTCGGTATCGAAAATGCTTACAGGTGCACTTTTACGTTTACATTTAATATGCAGGTGGTCGAAATTCGGCGACCGAGCATCAACCAATAATGACATAAATATACACTCACACTTGTACATGTACAACTCGACCTGGAGCCCCTCTTGGGCTACTGCCGGTCCCAAACCAGGAAAAAGGAGGATGGTTGTGGATGGGGTTGGCAAACCCATCCCGTAATAAACTAACCAGAAAACATTATTGTGACTATTTTAAGTCTGCTCCTGGAGTCAGGTCTTCATTCAGAAGAGTTATGACGTAACATGATGAAAGCCGAGTTCCTTCGGAAGTCACAATATCGATGACCCTTCTCACAACCATTCTTTTAGGTAGATGGAATTTTCAAACAATGTGGGAAACCGGAAGACTATTCCAAATTGCTACAGAAATGAAAAGATACAAACTGGAGGTGCTTAGAATCAGTGAAACATATTGGATACAGGTTGGACAACTAAGACTAGCTTCAGGACAGAAGTAAATAGGAGACCTAAATCCCAGGGTTGGCGTAGACAAAACTGGATATGAAGACATCATGGGACGATATGGACTGGGAGAAAGGAACGAAAACGTTGGGAGATTCACAAACCTATGTGCCCTCAACAAACTGGTCATAGGCAGCACAATATCCCCACACAAGCGCATACACAAAGCTACATGGACTTCACCGGATCACACTACTCAGAACCAAATAGACCATATCTGTATCAATAAAAAGTTCAGAAGGATCATGGAGGATGCGATAACCAAGAGACGAGCTGATATAGCCTCAGATCACCACTCGCTGGTCGCTAAAATGAAACTGAAACTCAAGAAACACTGGACAACGGGGCATACAACATCAAAAAATTTAAAACAGCCTTTTTCTGGGACACTGAAAAGCTCAACGAATTCAGGATAGCCCTCAGTATTAAGTTTCAGGCATTGCAGGATCTACTCAATGGAGAGGACGCAACATTGGAGAACAATTGGAAAGGGATTAAGGAGGCAATCACTTCAACATGTCAAGAAGTTCTGGGTCACAAGCAGCACCATCACAAGGAATGGATCTCTGTTGGTACTCTTGCAAATATTGAAGAAAGGAGGAACAAGAAGACAGCAATCAATGTCAGCCGAACAAGAGCGGAGAAAGTTATTGCACAAGCTACATACACAGAAGCAAACAGGGAGGTGAAGAAGAGCATCAGAGCTGACAAACGAAAATGTGTGGAGGATCTAGCAATGACGGCTGAAAAGGCTGCAAGAGACGGAAACTTGAGACAATTAAACGATACAACAAAGAAGTTCACCGGAAACCATCGTAAACCAGGACGACCAGTGAAAAGCAAGGAAGGCAAAGTAATCAGCAACACTGAACAACAGCGAAAAAGGTGGGTAGAGCATTTTAGTGAACTTTTGAATCGACCAGCTCCACTGAACCCACCCAACATTGAAGCAGCATCTACGGTCCTCCCAGTCGATGTTAGCGCACCTACAATTGAGGAGATCGATATGGCCATCAGAAAAATCAAAATACCAAAGAAAGGCCATCTCAGCAAGTGTGAGAACTACAGAGGCATCACTCTTCTTTCGATACCAGGCAAAGTCTTCAACAGGGTATTGTTAAACAGAATGAAGGACTTCGTATACGCCCAACTTCGAGATCAACAGGCCGGATTTCGTAAGGATCGATCATGTACTGACCAAATCGCTACATTACGGATCATTGTGGAACAATCAATTGAATGGAACTCACCACTCTACATCAACTTCATCGACTACGAGAAAGCATTCGATAGTGTGGACAGGAAAACACTGTGGAGGCTTCTTCGACACTACGGTGTGCCTGAGAAAATAGTCAACATCATACGGAATTCTTATGATGGATTCAACTGCAAAATCGTACACGAAGGACAGCTGACAAACTCGTTTGAGATGTAGACCGGTGTCAGGCAAGGTTGCTTACTCTAACCCTTTCTCTTTCTCCTACTCATCGACTGGATTATGAAGGCGTCAGCATCTGGAAGGAAGCACGGTATTAAATGGACAGCTAGGACACAGCTGGACGATCTGGACTTCGCAGATGACCTGGCTCCTCTATCGCACACTCAACAACAAATGCAAGAGAAGACGACCAGTGTAGCACCAGCCTCTGCAGCAGTAGGTCTCAACATACATAAGGGAAAAACCAAAATTCTCCGATGCAACACAACCACTCTTGATGGAGATGCTTTCGAGGACGTTAACAACTTTACATATCTGGGCAGCATCATCGACGAGAAAGGTGGATCGGACGCAGATGTGAGGGCGCGGATTGGCAAAGCGAGGGCTGCATTTCTACAGTTGAAAAATATCTGGAACTATAAACAAATATCAACCAGCACCAAACTCAAAATTTCCAATACAAATGTGAAGACAATTCTACTGTATGGGGTGGAAACTTGGAGTACTACGAAAGCCATCATCCAGAATATACATGTGCTTATTAACAGTTGTCTACGCAAAATACTTCGGATTCGTTGGCCAGACACAATCAGCAACAACCTACTGTGGGAGAGAACGAACCAGATTCCAGTAAAGGAGGAAATCATGAAGAAGCGGTGGAAGTCACAAGACAGGCTTCCACGTCGATTCCTCAAGGTCGAAGGAAAAACAGAAGGCCAATGAATATATTACGCTGAGAAACATAGAAAGACATGAGAAGAATGAAAAAAATTGGACAGAACTGGAAAGGGAGGCTCAAGACAGAGGTTGAAAAACAGTTGTCGGCGTCTTATGTTCCATCATGATTAACAGGAAAAAAGTAAGCAAGCGCTTTCTAATACTTACTGTAACCCAGTTTGTTTTAGAATACGCTATTTCGTTCTGTGAAAACCTCTGATTGTATAGCAAATGCTGAAGCGTCAGAGGTACTTTTTTGTAACTTCAATATAACATGCTTCTTTAAGTAAATAAGAACCAAAAACATTGAGCTCAAAGTTTTGGTTTCGAAATAATTTATATGATTCACCCAAAAAGAGAACATTGTTCGATCTGCCCAGATAAGCCTTGTGTTGCTGGCTGTGTGTTAAGAAAGAACACAAGAAATTTTGACCGAAAGAACAAGAATCGAGCGCGAAGAAATCAATTGGTTTAACAAGCTCCAGAGATAGATATTGGATATTGTTCATTGAATATTTAAGAGCTCGCAAATCAAAAGTTTGCGTTTCTTTGCTTATGAGTATGTTGAAGGTTAAGAGATATGATGAATCTGTTAAGGATGTGCAGCTCCTTTTTGGTGATCACTTTTTGCATAAGGTTGTAGAAAATTTTATTCTGGTGTTCTGTGTAGAAGCTTAGGGGGAATCTAGGAAGCTAACTAACTACTGCATGTATAATTTCTTCTCATTTACGGAGGTAATAGGACGATAATACTTTTCAGGATATGTACTCGACACATCAGGGTCATCAAATTCATGCAGCACACTAGAAGTCTACTGTCATGTACCATTATTTTTATCGTAATTCGCGAGCAAGTATCCGTCGCTGATATTCTCGCCACCGTTTGCAGGGGAACATGTAGTGGTGTTGTACATAAGTTAAATGTGAGAAATACCCTACGATCTCTAATTAATGCTAGACATTATTTCATTTTGCGGTGATAGATGCGATATGCAAATCAAACAATAAGTTGGCAGTTTTTTCGTAGATATTACATTTATTTCTCACCAAAGTGCAAAAAGCTTTTGGAAAAGCGACCAAAGTCTGTGTCAGTACTCTTTGTACTGGTCTGTCCTGACTTATTTTGTGTCGGTGATTTCGTGTCAGCAGAGATCAGTATGTATAAACCAGCACCCTTCATGTCAGCCTCATCCAAGTTTTGGGCTTTTCTAGTGTTATTTTTGTTGTAACAGTTCGAACCTGTAACGCATTAGTGATCGCCGTTTCGTTTTGATTGTGAAACTTAACGCTGCTGATGTGAGTTATGTTCGCTCTGTCAGACAGGTCGGTTGTGAGATAGTAAGACGAAGAGCAGCAACTTAAGGTCTGAGGGTTAAGTCGTACTGCTGAGTGTAGAGACGTTTGACTGCGGTAAGGCGTTTCCCTTGGACAAGCAGTTGCCCTCTAACAACCATAGGGAGAGGTTTGAAAAGGTCGATGTCGATCGATATCCATCCTCTACCTCTTAATAAATCTCTTATCTCCACGACCAACCATATTTTCTTTCCTTCACCCCCTCGCGCCACCGATGCAAAGGTTTCGAGTTTCATTTGATCGTAAACAAGTCGATCTCGTGTGTTGTTATGGGTATGTGGGTGTATGTATTTTCCCAAATGCCCACACTGCGAAAGGTTATTTCTTGAGGGACCTGAGAAGAAAGTTGGGTTGGCGTTGTTCTTAGTGATCTGGGAGTGTGACCACATAAAGCAAATGGCATCTGTCTAGAGCCGTTCGCATACAGCCTTTTTTGGAAAGGTTATGACGTGTTACCTTCGCTCTTTAAAAGGCCTTACCGCCGAGGACGGTAATCCGTGGAGTAAGGCGAGGTGTGACATTTTTAGGGTCGACCTTTTCAAACATCTCCCTACCGTTGTTAGAAGGTAGCTTTGTTACAGATGCTGCTTGTCCAAGAGAAACGCCTTACCGCAGTTAAACGTCTCTACACTCAACAATGTAGGAAGGATTTGATTTTGACATGTGTTACATATGCCCGACTGCCGCGACGAGCTATGTTTTGTGGTGTAGGAGTAGGTTGGAAGTAAGCTAGGGGCGGCCAAACCAAAACATGGCAGAAATCCATGAAGTCACTGACAAGTGGACTGAGTCATGTTGGTAGATGTAGGCTATCTGGCTGGGATCCGCTAGACGAAAGTCACCGATGTTTAGAGACCTTGAATGATATGGCTCAAAATCGTTTGCAGTGGCGCAGGTGCATCCAATTTCTGTGTTCTCTCAAATTCTAACCTTCTGAGTTCCTCATAATCTCTATCTTTCTCCTTCTAAATTCATCTCACTAAATTACACTTTTCGAATCATATCTCCGCTCCCTAATCTTCTCCATTACTGCTAATACTTCTACTGCCGCTATCGCTCTTGGATTTGAACAGACAGTTACGTCTCTGTGCTGACGTGGTATGGCAACCTGAACTGATGTACTTAAGTACGAATTTCTGCGTTGTATCTATCTCACACTAAGCGGTACGACTTAACCTTCAGACTGTAAGTTGCTCAACCTTCCACGGTGTGGGCATCCGGGAAGTAACAACCGCCCTCATACCCGTAACAGTAGACGAGACCAAATTGGTCGAAATCAAATCCTTCCTACACCCACACATACCTCTCTTCTCTCCACAACTAACTCTACTCACATTCCCTTATCTGGCTGCACCGCTAATGCAAACGATGCGAGTTCACTAAACGTCATTCCTGGTCTCTTGAAATCCCGTTCTAGACTATATGTTGGAGCATTTAATGTTCGGACATTGTGTCAACTAGGGCAACAGGCATCATTAGCCAGGACTTTAGAATCTCGCTCAATCGATGTATGATGCGTCTCGGAAACGCGCATACAAGATCCTAGTAAAATTATTAATCTGATTTCACCTTGTCAAAATAAAGAAGCAGCTCGATTTACTCTTCGTGTATCTGGAAGCTCTGATGCTGCTCTCCGGGGTCTTGCTGGCGTAGGCATAGCATTGAGTCGCAGAGCTGAACAGTCTCTCCTTGACTGGGTCCCAGTAGATAGTCGCTTGTGCGCTGTCCGACTAAACGGGACAGTAAGGACTTGGAAAGATAGGGACACTCGCCGTTGCCTCTTCGTCGTATCTGCCTATGCCCCTACTGACTGCTGTTCAGACGAGGTTAAAGATGAGTTTTACAGAAAGCTTTCGGACCTCCTCCAAAAAGCTAAGCGCTCTGATACAGTAATAATGGCTGGTGACTTCAATGCTCAAGTAGGTAGACTGAGTGAAAATGAAAGACACCTCGGTGGATGTTATGGTGTCGCGGCTCAGAGAACAGACAATGGTGACCGTCTGTTGCAAGTATGCTCAGACAACCGCCTATTCTTAGCAAACACTAACTTTAGGCATAAGGAAAAACATCTCTTGACCTGGCGACCCCCGAAGTCGTCTCAACGTTGGACCCAACTAGATCACATTGCCATCAGCCACCGATGAAGGGGTTCGATAGAGGAATGTCGCTCGTTCTGGGGCACATGTTTAGATTCAGATCATGACCTAGTGCGAGCGCGTATTTGTTTGAGGCTTGCTGGACGTAGGAAAGACACCGTAAGGAAGCCTCTTAGGGTTTTACTTAATGATAATAAGGTGAAGAATATATTTCAGGAACAACTAGAAAGACAGTTAGGCAACAATTTAAGCGATTCCCATCCGGAGGCAGGTTGGAATGATATCAGGAAGACTGTCGAAACAGCAGTGATATCTGCAAGTAAGGTTGACCATAAGGTTAGAATGAAGCCGTGGATATCAGTAGCATCCACCGATCTGATGGATGCCCGAAAACTCATCCCACCTGACTCTGAACATGATGAGGAACGAAGTCAGCTTAAGCGCAGACTTATAAAAAGCCTACGTAACGACCGTGAACAGTGGTGGTTGGCGAAAGCAAAAGCGATGGAAAAGGCAGAGGCGATAGGCAACACTAGACAACTTTTCCGCCTTATCAAAGAAACCGGTATTAGGAACCCGAATGTGAGTGAGACTATCTCGGAAAAGGATGGTCTTATTATCCATTCTCAATCTAGGAGGCTGCACCGATGGGCAGAACACTTTAGGGATCAGTTCAACTGGCCTCGAGCCACTGTTCGGTTACCCACGATCTCCAATCATCCTGAACGGCAAATCGACGTAAGTCGTAAGGACGAGTTTACTGTGCAGTAGTTCGCTCCGTCTTACTTTATGGCTGTGAAACATGGCCAGTCAGAGTAGAAGATATTCGTAGGTTATTAGTTTTCGATCATAGGTGTCTTCGAAGCATTGCTCGTATATCGTGGGACACACGGGTGAACAACACTGTTATTAGGAATCGGGTGCTAGGTAAGAATGTCAGATCAATAGATGAAGTAATGAAACTTCATCAGTTGAGGTGGTTGGGACATGTGTTGCGTATACATAACCACCGACTGCCTCGACGAGCTTTGTTTTGTAGTGTAGGAATAGGTTGGAAGAAAGTTAGGGGCGACCAGACCAAAACATGGCAGAAATCCATGAAGTCATTGATCAGTGGTCTGAGCCATGTCGGTAATTGTCGACTACCTGGTTGGGGTCTGCGAGATAATAATAACCGATGGTTAGAGACCTTGAATGACATGGCTCAAAATCGTTCGCAATGGCGCCGGTGCATTTATTCTTTGTGTTCTCTCAAATCCTAATCTTCTATATTCTTCAACACCTCTAGTTTTGACTTTCTAAACTTTTCTCACTGAATCATACTTCTTGAATAATATCTTCTAATCCTAACCTCTTCGATTACTCCTAATACCTTTACTACCTCTACTACTATTGTATTTGAATTGACAATTACATCTCTGTGCTAATAATGTCGTATGGCAACCTGAACTGATGTGCTTACGTACTAAGTTCTGCGTTGCATCTGGCTGACTGACGTTAAATTGCTGCTCTTCGTCTTACCATCTCACAACCGACCTGTCTGTCAGAGCCAATATAGCGCGGTCGAACTAGGATCTACGGTCGGGGGACGCAAAATAGGTTTGAAGCGTATATAAATATGACCAAAACCTTTATAGGTATTCGAAAATCTAACAATCTTGTACATATTCAGACCATCCAGTTCTAATTGAAATGTGATCAGTTTAATTTCAATCTGGAGCTGTCCATATTCGATGCTATTAGAAAATCGGCAGTGGCTTTGACAGGTATTGGTTCTAACTAGAAACAGGTCCTTATCTGTACATGGCTCGAGTAGACGCGCTATTTATTCCACCAGCTAGGTAGAGTTATTTTCTCCTGCAAATTAAAGTTCGCATCCAGCACCACAAGATATTTCTAATACGCTCTATCGGCATCATATAACTGTTGGCTGAATTCATGCTTTGTTAGACCGGAAACCTTTTGAGTAAACGGCACACGACTATTATCAGCAGAAGTTCACTCAGTTGCTACTGTCCAAGATATAAGTTCAATACCAACTCTCTAGTTGCTTCAGGTTTCTGGATCTAGGTGGTATGAATTTGAAATCTGGAAGGATCATATAAGACGCATGGTTTGAGTTAATCTGCTCCAGTCATTTCATCCGATGACAACAATAAAAAACTCGATCATTTAACGATTTGAGGCCCGTTTGAGAGGACAAAACTCAATAAGAATAAACCGAGTCAGTCTAAGAATATAATTTGTATAGGTAACTGTATACACTGTCGAAACAGTAGAAAGTTGAAACATTTCAAAACAAAGTTGTGTTCAATAAATAGTATAAGTGTATAGTATAAGGAAAGAGAATAAGCAGAACATTTTTTTCCGAATGCCTAAACGGAAGCAGATTATATTTTTAGAGGAATTACTCCTGGAGGATTTAACCTGAGATTCAGTATATAACATAGTCTATTAGTATAAGTTGCTTATTTAATTTAGACGTGATTTTTTTCTATTTCGTTTGATTGAGAATTAGTTTTGGTATTTTCGACATAACTAAACCTGTTGTTTATATTCATTTTCAGTGGATGGCCGTGTCGAGTTGTATGAAGTATGTTATTTTTCACAATGTTTCACAATATTTCTGGTTTAGGAAGTAAAGCTTTACCGTACTGCACGCGGAAGAGAAAAGTTAGTTCCATGCAAGAGTCAACAACTAATTTTAGGTATGACAATCTTGCTGAACTGTATGCTGTTATCAACACCATACAATGTTTACAAAAAGCGTATATTAAGGACTATGTGGAATCAAAAGAGTTGAGTGAAATAGATTTTTATTATATTCTTAATAATGTAGATACACTGCTGCCTGTTCAAAGCTTCTTGTCCAGTACAAAGCTGCATTTAAGCAAGTTCAAGGAGATGAATTTGCAACTGTAGAGGATTTTATGCGGAAATATAAAGTTTGTTAATTGCAAACATTTGTTCGCATTTAAGTTTTAGATGGATTGTCCAGCGGCTCTGGAGCGTATCAAAGAGGGGACACCGATAACTATCAAGGATGATAAACAGAATATAAATAAATGTATTGCTGATACTGTTTCTGTAAGTCAATTTTGATTGGTAAATACATTTGAAGCGTAACTTTTGTCCGCTTTGTTATCAATATTTTATTGAGATTTACTGCTAAAAAGTATATCGAGTGTTGTTTGTAAAAATATTGTTTGAAAGAGACAATGTGTTCACTGTGATAATTTAGTATGTGAAAATGTCGTTTTTCCTAATGTCTCTACTTGTTTGCTTGTTGTTCATATATTTTTAATCAGCAGTTTAATTATTTAATTGTTTATCAATGTGAATTCTTAGGATTTTATTTCTACTGATCTTATAAGGTTATCTGTTTCATTACTTACTACGTCGATAGTTTCTATATATGTATCTGTTTAATTTTTAAAATTTCACGCGTTTGTCGAAGCCTGGCTATATATCTAAGAAAATTATTTTCTATAAATTCTGATCGAATTTCACGATTATACGTTCAAATTAATGTCATAAGGAAGGTAGCAAAGTATAAGGCAGATAAATCTTTTAAACATAATGACATATAGATTGAAGATTGTCCATAAAATCGAATAAAATTGTTGATGTTGAAATGACTAGAGTGTAATGTTAACTTAAATATGCTCACAGGTCAACTGAAATTTTTATATTAATAAACGTCGATAACATGACATAAGTAATATAACTGCTAATTAAATCAAATACCTAGTCATAGATTATTTACTGTGGGGTAAGCGCTAATTAACTTCTCAGTGTGTTTATAAGATTATTAATCATGATCTTAGTAAAACAATAATGAGTATAACAAAATTGGTAATAGATAGATAGACAGACAGATACAACGCAGCCCGACCGTAGCTGCTACCTTGACGTGGTGGTCGGGCTTGCCTATCGTGATGACCCAACCGAGCTATACTGGCTGGAACATATGTTCCTCAAGGTTCTACCATGCCAGACAGGTCGATTGGAGAACGATGAGACTAAAAGCAGCTACCCAAGGTCTGAGGGCGAAGTCGTACTGCTTACTGCAGAGGGGTGTGACAGCAGTAAGGTGTTTCCCTCGGACAACCAGCATCTGCAGCGATGCTACCTTCTCACAAGGAAGGAAGGGTTAAAAAGGTCGGCCCTAAAAATGCCACACCTCCCCTAACTCACGGATTTCCGTCTCCCTGGGTAAGGGTGCCCACTAAGGGCCTTTAAGAACGGAGCTAATCCTCAAAAAACGTTTCATAAAAAGGCTGTGCGTGACCAGCCTCGAGCAGTTGTCCCTTGGGCTCTGCGGTCACGCACCAACACTAATCCATCTTCCTTTTCAGGTCCCTCAAGAAACAACCTTCCACGGTGTGGGCAGTCGGGAAGTGACAACCGCCCTCATACCCGTAACAGCACGCGAGACCAAATTAGTCAAAATCAAATCCTTCCTACACCCCCTAATGTCTCTCTTATCTCTACGACTAACTCTACTCACACTCCCTTTTCTTACTGCACCGCTAATGCAGACGAAGCGAGATCACGAAACGTCGTTCCTGGTCTCTTGAAACCCCGTTCTAGACTACATGTTGGAGCTTTTAATGTACGAACATCGTGTCAACTAGGGCAACAGGCATCATTAGCTAGGACTTTAGAAACGCGTGCCATCGATGTATGCTGCGTCTCGGAAACGCACATACAAGATCCTAGTAAAGTCATTAACCTGATTCCACCTTGTCAAAATAAAGAAGCAGCCCGATTCACTCTTCGTCTATCCGGTAGCCCTGATACTGCTTCCCGGGGTCTTGCTGGCGTAGGCATAGCGTTGAGTCCTAGGGCAGAATTATCTCTCCTTGACTGGATCCCGGTAGATAGTCGTTTGTGCGCTGTCCGACTAAACGGGACAGTAAGGACTTGGAAAGATAGGGACACTCGCCGTTGCCTCTTCGTCATATCTGCCTATGCCCCCACTGACTGCAATGCAGACGAGGTTAAAGATGAGTTTTACAGAAAGCTTTCGGACCTCCTCCAAAAAGCTAAGCGCTCTGATATAGTAATAATGGCTGGTGACTTTATCGCTCAAGTAGGTAGACTAGGTGAAAAGGAAAGACATCTAGGTGGATGTTATGGTGTAGCGACTGAGAGAACAGACAATGGTGACCGTCTGTTGCAAGTATGCTCAGACAACCGCCTATTCTTAGCAAACACTAACTTTAGGCATAAGGAAAAACATCTCTTGACCTGGTGACCCCCGAAATCGTCTCAACGTTGGACTCAACTAGATCACATTGCCATCAGCCACCGATGGAGAGGTTCGATAGAAGACTGTCGCTCGTTGTGGGGCACATGTTTGGATTCAGATCATGCTCTAGTGCGACCTCGTATCCGTTTGAGGCTTATTGGACGTAGGAAAGACACCGTAAGGAAGCCTCTTAGGGTTTTACTTAATGATAATCAAACTAAGAAAATATTTCAAGAGCAACTAGAAAGAGAGTTAAGCAACGATGTAAGTGATTCCCATCCAGAAGCAGGTTGGTATGATATCAAGAAGGCTGTGGAAACAGCAGTGATATCTGCTAGTAAGGTTAACCATAAGGTTAGAATGAAGCCGTGGATATCAGTCGCATCCACCGAACTGATGGATGCTCGAAAACTCATCCCACCTGACTCTGAGCATGATGAAGAGCGTAGTCAGCTTAGACGCAACTTATAAAAAGCCTGCGTAACGACCGCGAACAGTGGTGGTTGGCGAAAGCAAAAGCGATGGAAAAGGCAGCGGCGATCGGCAACAGTAAACAACTTTTCCGCCTTATTAAAGAAACTGGTATTCAGAACCCGAATGTCAGTGAGACTATCTCGGAAAAGGATGGTCTTATTATCCATTCTCAATCCAGGAGACTGGATCGATGGGCAGAACACTTTAGGGATCAGTTCAACTGGCCACGAGCCACTCTTCGGTTAACCACAATCTCCAGTCATCCTGAATGGCAAATCGACCTAAGTCCCCCTAGTCTTAATGACGTTGAGAAAGCGTTAGGAAATCTGAAACGAGGACGAGCTGCAGGTCCTGATAGACTGACCCCTGAGATATTTAAGGATGGTGATCCAGTTTTAGCAGCTAGGTTGACTGAGATCTTAGGTAGAATCTGGGAACTGGACGCAATCCCATCCGACTGGTCTCAATCCTCGATTGTCCCAATCTATGAGAAAGGACAAAAGTCTTCTTGTGACAATCACAGGGGAATAAGTCTTACTAATATAGTATCTAAAATATTGGCCTCAATAATACTTCGACGCTTAACGAAAGCTCGTGAAGAGCAGACACGAGAAAACCAGTCTGGTTTTCGACCTGTACGTGGTTGTATAGACCACATCTTCACACTACGACAGGTCCTGGAACATAGGCACACATTTAGGCGTCCTACAATAGTTGTTTTCCTAGACCTAAAGGCGGCATTTGACTCAGTGGATCGTGAGGTTCTGTGGCAGTGTCTGTCATTGAAAGGTGTACCAAAGAAGCACATTAACCTTATACAAGCCCTTTACTCGAACACCACTTGTCGAGTGAGAGCTTATGGCGAACTGTCACCGGAATTCCCTACATCAAGTGATGTCCGTCAGGGTTGTCCACTCTCCCCATTCTTGTTCAATTTCATCATAGACATGCTCTTAGAGTTAACATTAAACTCGTCAGATTTTTCAGGGGTTGACCGTCTACCAGGAAAGTCGCTTACTGATCTAGAATATGCCGATGACATAGTTCTATTCGGTGAAGACGCTAACAAAATGCAGTCTTCTGACTACCATAAGCAACAATGCGAGCATGTTTGGGATGCGGTTTTCCCCCTCGAAATGCAAAATTTTGCTTTAAGACTGGGTTGCATCGGCACCTGAACTAGTGATAGGAAGTGAGGTAGTCTTGCGTGTTGATCGCTTCACTTATCTTGGGAGTCTCATCAGTGCCGATGGCCTGGTGACTGACGAAATCTCAGCTCAGATACAGAAGGCTCGATTGGCTTTTGCCAACTTGCGTCACTTATGGCTTAGGCGAGATATCCGTTTGCTGACTAAAGGACGAGTTTACTGTGCAGTAGTTCGCTCCGTCTTACTTTATGGCTGTGAAACATGGCCAGTCAGAGTAGAAGATATTCGTAGGTTATTAGTTTTCGATCATAGGTGTCTTCGAAGCATTGCTCGTATATCGTGGGACACTCGAGTGAGCAACGCTGTTATTAGGAAACGAGCACTAGGCAAGGATGGCAGATCAATCGATGAAGTAATGAAACTTCATCAGTTGAGGTGGTTGGGACATGTGTTGCGTATGCCGAACCACCGACTGCCTCGACGAACTTTGTTTTGTAGTGTAGGAATATTTTGAAAAAAAGTTAGGGGCGGCCAGACCAAAACATGGCAGAAATCCATGAAGTCATTGATCAGTGGTCTGAGCCATGTCGGTAATTGTCGACTACCTGGTTGGGGTCTGCGAGATGATAATAATCGATGGTTAGAGACCTTGAATGACATGGCTCAAAATCGTTCGCAATGGCGCCGGTGCATTTATTCTTTGTGTTCTCTCAAATCCTAATCTTCTATATTCTTCAACACCTCTAGTTTTGACTTTCTAAACTTTTCTCACTGAATCATACTTCTTGAATAGTATCTTCTAACCCTAACCTCTCTGATTACTTCTAATTCCCTTAATACCTCTTCTACTATTGTATTTGAATTGACAATTACATCTCTGTGCTAATAATGTCGTATGGCAACCTGAACTGATGTACTTACGTACCAAGTTCTACGTTGCATCTCACTGACTGACGGAGATACAACGCAGAACTTCGTACTTAATTACATCAGTTCGGGTTGCCATACCACGTCAGCACAGAGACGTAACTGTCAGTTCAAATCCAAGAGTGATAGCGATAGTTGAATTATTAGCAGTAATGGAGAAGATTAGGGAGCGAAGATATGATTCGAGAAGTATAATTCAGTGAGATAAATTTGTGGGGAGAAAGAGATTAGTAAAAGTGATATGTAAATAATAATAACAATATTATTTGTGTATTGTAAATTTAAGCTATGAATCTACAAAAGAAAAGGCTACAAGTGAACTTGATTATTGAATTATTTGATCTGAAGTTGACCAATGCAAAGAAGTGGTTGGACACACTTCTTATGTAATGCAACTTTGCGTCTAACAGCTTTCAGTAGAAAATTAATACGATAGATTTTTATGAGTGCTTGATTCATACTGGCTGTTTTACCCATCTTAACAGAATGGACTAAGATAGGGATGTTGACCTTGACTACATTTATGCCTAGCTACGCTGGAATACGTTGTAACATCTTGCACTCGAGCAGCTCAGTAGATAGATACAAAATAATACATTGTCTAAACTAGCCACCCTTATTTTCGATATTTAATCTTATGATAAACATTTATACAGTAAGTGGGCTAGATACTCAAACATGTTTATGGGCAATAATCTTTCTTGTTTTGAATGTTCACTTCAAAAAGGATCGTATTTATTGTTTTAGTTTCTTTAATTGTTGACTCTAAAGCTTCCAATTTTATTTTTTGTTCTAGTTGTTTATTACGATTATGGATAAACTGCGACTAGAAATTCGTGCAGTGGATGAAGTAATATTATACTGAGATTAATAAATATTCTTACAGATTCAACCAGATCTTCGAGAGTTGTATGAAACTCTTTGTCGGTTGAGTATTCTACCTTCCGATTTTGAAGGTAAAGTTAAAGTGAAAGCAAAGTAAGTCTAATTTAGCAGATATCGAGAGCTTTGGAAGTGATAATAGATAACATTCATTATTTTGTTTGGCATAAGTCATTTATTCGAAAGCCACATCTACTACTCCTGTCTGTTGAGAATTTGAATCCATTATTTACTGGATAGGAATCGATTATTATAACTAATTAGCCATAGCTCTTTAACTTATCTACATCGGTTTATCCGATCTGTCAATCAAATCTTTGTCAACCTACTGTTTTGAGACTATCTTTACTCCAACTTTTTGCTCCTCGAGTTTTCTGTTGATCTTCATTTACCTACAAGTACATCACATTTTTAAGAAGATATCTACCATACTTTTGTGATTCAAAGTAAAGCGATTTCTAATATATGGTTACATCTATACACTTTTGTTTATGTTAAAAGCTTGTACGCTAATTCCAAATATATAGTACACAGTTGGTCGGACAAATCTTTGACATGATTCATAAAATAAGCTTTAATTTATTGTTTTTCTTTATTAGGTTAGAAAAAATGGAGGAAATGCAAGCGTCTGATGAATTATCTGAAGCTGAAGTACGACAGATGCTTTTTGATTTAGACTGTGCATATAATGCCTTCAATCGGACATTGCATTCTGGCCAGTGAATACTCAAAATCATATATATATATATAAATGCATACATAATATGCTTTCAAAGAGGCCAATTATCTTTTTATACTTAGTTTCTATTATTTACTTCTTTCTTTTCTTTTAACATGTGCATAAATTAAATACTTACAAGTTAAAAATAGTATTATGATTAGCTTTTAATTTATGATTACCGGCTTGCATATACACTCTTTGTAGTAATCTATTGAAAGGTAGTCAAGAGGTTCTTGTATCTAAGTAGCTTTGCGTGTTGTCAATTATATGAAAGATGAGTTAACTGTGTATAATAAAACTAAGACGCTCCGTCCCAACCCGATCCACCTTTGGAGCCATTCTGATGTTATTCTGGTTGTAACAGTTTGGATCTTCGGCACATTACTGAGAGCAGTTTTGCTGTGATTATGAGACTCGACCCTCCTGACCTGAAAATGTTTGACGACTTTCTGTGTTGAGTCATCGTTGTCCCCGAAAGGTCACCAATACCCAGTGGTAAAAGCACGTTAGTAATGTGGAGGTTATGGAGCTTGTTTGGTCACAGTGATGATAAATCTATTAGTGTCACCATTTGAAAGCAACTCAACAATCAGAATATCTAAACCAAATGGCCACTGTTAAGTTTAAAGCAATTGTCTGATCATATACCCAATTCTGTCACTCACTATCTTGCGAAATGAACTTTTATTGTGATGTAAAATCACACTAACTGGTTATTTCCATCAATTAAGTTTCTATCTCTAAGTTTTATTTTAATTATTCCCTCGGAGCATATGAATATTGGAACATGTAGACGCAAAAATGAGATTGTAAGGAGATAAAGAACTGTGAGTTTAACAAAAAACTGTAATAATAATGAGAAAAACAGCTCAGAAGAAATACAACCAGGAAAAACTTTTTCAATCAAAGAAGTTACTCTTAATTATGTGAAGAAAATGAAATAAAATTACAGCAGGACGGCCACTGGCTTCTAATCTGAGCCGTGTCTAATAACGCCTCAAGCCAGTGAGTTGCACCATCCGTAGGACCCAAAGCAAGGAGTTATGAAGGACCAACGGATGCCAGCTACTGGTTTGGATGAGCTGGAAGAACTTACCAGATGCAGCTACTGCTTCAAGCTCACTAGCACACTCCGACGACCAAGTTTCCCAGTACTCACGCAAACTTTGCATTATTTGATTATGTAAGTCTTTTTATCGTCAAACTTGAGGTTACCCGGAGTAGACCGACGTGTCACAATGAGTTGTAAGGAGCCCGTAGAAACCCAGTACTTATAAGCAGGACGTTTCGCGAGTTCGAAAGCAGGTTCACGCTCCTTTTCATAGCGTCGTGCTATTGCAGCCAGTTCACTCATACTTTTCGGAGTGTTGATAGCTAGGTTTGATATTTAGTTGCAACACAAGCTCATGTTTGATTTCATCCGGACTGCAATATGTCGAGGAGCAGGCAGAGATAACGAAATGACATCGTTTCCCACACCGACTTTTCTCAGGTTTGATAGACCTTTAATGTAACAGCACAATTAAGACCCAATCTATAAGTGTTGCTTCAGCTCTAGAGCTTATTATGATGCTAACACCAACAAGACCAGATGAAAATACAAGAAGGTCCGGGAAAAAAGGCATGCGAAACGAGCTTTTCGAATGGATGGAGAGTGGATGTGTAGTGCATCACTAGAGTCTCCTAAACGGGTCTCGAATGGACAACAGAAACTAGTGTTCAGACATTTTAAAGACATAACCAATCCTATCTGTTATCTGACCCTTAACAGTGTGCAAACGTTGAGGGGAGCTGGTTTGGCTAGCATACGTAGTTTCTGGAAGTCTGATTCAAAATTCGTATTTGGTGGTAGTATTCAAATTTCGGCCGGTGAGTTGAGATCGTTCAGATGGGACCAGATTTCCAACGTAGTTGAGCTGCTGTATGATTTGAAGAGTAAGGAATACCTAAAATAGGAATAACGAAATAAACAGTTGACGCAATGTAAAATAATTGTAGGCACGACTTGTGAGAGTGAAGGTCGGAACGAGCATAAAATTTTCCATTTGTAATCATAATTCAGTTTGTATATAAGGTGTGGTGCTGCCGGGGTACCCGAACCGAAGCAGGTGGTTACCTTGGGAGCTACTCCCTGAGTCTTTGACCAAGGGGCTTAGTCCACGTCAGGAGTTGCAGTCACATGTTGGCCGGTTACCGACGTTAGGTTTGTGTGCCGTTTGTTTCTTCTGGAGCCTTTGTGCACCATTGGTTTTAAATCAGGGTTTTCCAACTCTGCTAGGGGATCCGAGTCAACAACCCAGACATTTGCTTATCGTTCTCTCAATTTCATAAACACTGCCGCCGCGAGAAGGCAGTGAGTGGGACTTTTCTGGCAGAGGCTATATACGTGTGGCTATGTGACAGCGTTTGAAGAGAGAGAGAGCGGACTCGCACAACTCTCTATCATACCAGGGCATTACAAGCAACTACTTGTGATCACTGTTTTTACCATCCACAGGTTACTACAGATTTACTGTTGAACTAACAGACACGAAATAGTACTCAACATCACTGATAAATCAGAGGCCATTCTGTCGGTTAAGGTTCATGGGCGGAATAAGCCCAGTTTTAACAAGTCTGAGTAATAGACCTATTTAGAAGCAGTAATATATAAACGAAGAATAATATCAATAAGTTCTCTAAATGTTCTACAATTACTAATACCCACTGTTAAGAAAGTTTATACATGAAATGAAATGGTGATATCAAAGATCAGAATAAATATCGGTTAGATATAGTGAGTTAAATAATGCTTTGTCTAAATATGGTTGAATATTTTGTTGGTAGTTACTCCTGTTACCCCTAATAGAGCGTAGACCACCGAACAGCATTCTCCAACTAATTCTGTCTTACGCTCTCTTTTCCGGTTGTTCCCGATTGCTATTCATTCGTTTGATGTCCATTTCCAGTTCCGATCTCAATATGTTCTACGGTCTATCTCTCCCATTAGCCATCAGGATTCCAGGCCGTCTTGCTTTATAACGCAATTGGGCGGTTCCCACAATTTGTGTCCTATCCACCCCCAGCGTTTCTTCCTCAGCTATAATTTGGTTTGTTCTCTCCCACAGTAGGTCGATGCTGTTGGTGTCTGGCCAATGGATCCGGAATATCTTGCGTAAACAACTGTTAATAAGCACCTGTATCTTCTAAGTGATGGTTTTTGTAGTTCTCTAAGCTTCCGCTACATACTATAGAACTGTCTTGATGTTCGTATTGAAAATTCTGACTTTTATGTTGGTTGACGGTTGTTTTGAATTGCAGATGTTTCTTAACTGTAGAAGTGCTACCCTTGTTTTGCCGATCAGTGTCTTCACATCTTTACCAGATCCACCTTGTTATCATTGATGCTGCCCAGGTATGTAAACGTTTCCACATATTTCAAAGCTTCTCTGTTAAGTGTAATTTGGCTGGTGCCTGTTGTGTTGTATCGAGGGATCTAGCTTTTTCCCTTGTGTATGTTGAGGTCTACTGCTGCAGAGTTTGCTGCTACATTAAACGTTTTCACCTACACCCGTTGCTGTGTGTGGGATAGAAGAGGTTGATCATCTGCTAATTCCAAATTGTCTAGCTGCATCCAGTGTTTTTCATGCTTCTCCTGAGTTGTTGACGTCTTCACAATCCACTCAACCACAAAAAGAATGGGGAAAGCTGAGAGTAAGCAACTTCGTCTGATACCGTTCTTCATTTGGAATGAGTCTGTGAGCTGTCCTCTATGCTTGATTCTGCTGTATGATATAGACTATCTTCTCAGGTACAGATTTATTCCATTGTTGGCATAGTGACACTTATAGTAAAGTATGTAGGTGCTGCTTCGATGACCGGCAAGTCCAGTGGGCCTGGTCTATTTAAGAGCTCTTCAAAATGCTCTACTCACTTGTTTTGCTGTTTCTGAATGTGGTTGTTTGCTTTGCCTTCCTTGTTCTGAATTAGTCGTTCTAGTCTAAGATATTTTCCATCAAGTTTCTTCGTTGTATCGCATAGTTGACTCACTTTTTTCTTCTTTTGCAGCTTTTTATGCTAGCATTACTTGATCTTCCGTATATTCACGTTTATGAGCTTTAATGCTCTTCTTCACTTGCTTGTTTGCTTCTGTATATTCAGCTTGTGCCTTGGCTTTGTCTGCTCTTGTTCGGTTAGTATTGAATACTATCTTTCTGTTCTTCCTTTGTTGAATCACATCCAGTGATTCAACAGTGATCCATTCCTTATGATGATGTTTCTTGTGGCCCAAAAACCTCCTAACATGCTGAAGTTAATGCTTCTTTAACCCCTTCTCAGTTCTTCATGGTAGTTTCCTCTTCATTGAGAAGATCGTGAAAAGTTTGGAACTTACTACTGAGAACTGTCTTGAGCTTATTGAATTTGCCAGTATCCCGAAAAAAAGCTGTATTAAACTTTTGTGATGCTGTGCGATCACTTGTCAAGTGCTTCTTTAGTTTCAAATTCATCTTGTTCTTACGTCCTCCATAGTGATTCTGAACTTTTTATTGATACAGATGTGATCGATATGATTCTCCATAATTCGGTCCAGTGTGGGAATATGTCGGCACCAGTAACCGTTTTATTGAAAGCACTTGAATTTACGAATTTTCATCGTTTTCGTTCCTTTCTCCCAGTTCATGTTGTCTGATGCTGTTTTCATCTCTGGTGTTGTCTATTACAGCATTGGCATTCAAGTGTCTCAACAAAATAGTCAGGTCCCTTCATTAATATTTCTCTGCAATTGACTGCAGCCTTTCATAAAACTGATCTTTATTGTCTTAGTGACTATCAGTATTGGGCGTAGCACTGGATGGCATTCATTATAATTCCCTCTTTTTTTATCTTGAATAATGCATCAATGATTTCTGGTCCATGAATTCCCATCTTACAAGTGCTTTTTGGGCTTATTTGGGTAGCATAAGTGTATCCACTTGTATGCAAGTCATTTTCTTTTCCATGAACAGAGTATAATAGCAACTCTTCTGAAGGTTTTCGACGGGATGAGGTGGCTAATCCTATGCCCAACCCTCCTTCATCCGGGCTTGGGTTCGGTAGTAATCCTAGACAGGTTCGAGGCGGAGTTAAATAGTGTTATATAAATTCAATTAAAGTTATTAAAGGGGAGTAAGGGCCGAGTAAATTACCCAGGTAGTCGGGAGAT